TTCATGCTGGATCAGACAAAGCTTTTAAAGGTACAGCTGTAAATCGGACATGCCAATCCATCAATGAAGGGTCACTTGAAATTATACGTGTACAGTCTCTTTAACACCATCTACTTCTTTACACACTATCTGAGATAAATCCTTGTAACCTTGTAGACGTGGATAAAAACAGATGTAATTATTAGAACAAAAACAAAAGAATCGATTACAGTATTAATGGGTTTAACGAAGGATAAAACGATATCATTAAAGGGAGAATTGCAAAAACGTTTTAGAGGTATGAAAACATTTATTCTTAGGATACGGTTTTCTGCAAAATGTAAAATTTGAATAATATTATGATAATAAAATCTGTCTCTTTAATGAAACATCGGCTAAAATTAAAAATGGTAAAAAAACCTTTAAGCCATGAAACAAATAGTTTATTCTTTTCTAAAAAAAGGATTTTTTAGTTATATTAACTTGTAGTTTTAGCCCTTAGGTAAACATAGATGGTTCAGAAGTTACTTTAGAATCTAAACTTTTTTAATTATAGATACCTTTCAGCTAAAAGTTTAATGAAGGCAGAACAACGAAATACAGTTGTTTTTAAAAGATTGTTAATTTTACCTTTTATAATATCTCCTCTAAACTCGGAAATCCTCCAAAACAAATGATAAAAAGTACGTGGAAAAGGAGGGACTGTATAAGGTTACAGATACAAGCCATTAATCTCAAATGGTTTTCTTTTGATTAGATCTTAATCTTGTCCGGCCTTTATTTAGTACAGTTCATTCAAGTGCACATTCATACCAGCACCAGTGAGACATGAATTATAACAGGATGGAAAATAATTTAATTCTTTTTTTTTTAATAGAAAGCCCGAATGAAAATGAAATTTTTTAGTCTGTGTACAGAAAAAGATTTCTGAGTATATCTAAATAAAAAATATCGGAGAACGGAAAATTTTTAAAATTTGAGTTTCAAACAATTTTATGAAACTTAAATCATGATTGTCCGGAACTTTTATGAAATCACAACAAAAAATTTAGAAAATATATTATTAATGTTACAAAGATAAGTTGAATACACTTATTTGTAAAATACTGGTCCGAATTTAGACCTCGTAGCTCCTCTATTTTTATATTATGCAAAAGTATAGAGCAAAGGAATTGAGTCTTTGGCACAAACTCAAATTTTCTAATTCCTATATGCAATATGATAGCGTAAACATTTAATATTTCAAACTTAGACTATTTGATCTAATCTAACAGAATTCTTAGTTTGAAATATCTAAGATCTATGACATTGGGTTTTAAATATGTAGTGATTAGAAAATCAGAGTTTGTGGCAAAGACTCAATTCCTTTGTCTGATATCATATAAGAAATTAAAGACATGTTTGCTCTTTCTCAAAAGATCTAAAAAAAGAAATTATGATTGAACACGTACTTGTAAGATTTAAATTTTTCGTACAATTTGCTTTAGTTTGTTTATTTTTTAGTTTAACGTTTTTCGCGTAAATTAAATACAATTTTAACGCCATCTAAACTGCAGAAACCAACCCAACTCATTTCTAATTTTGAATTCCAAAAATTATTTAAGAAACAATTTATTAGTTCTGTCAGCCCCCCCCCCCCCTCCTCCTCTTGTATCTCCATGAATATTTAATTTTGCTTAAAACTCATCTTCTTCTGTTTATTTTCAAAATTATTCATAAATTCCAACTTTTCTCATTTTCTTGTTCTCTCCCCAGCTAGCAGTCGGAATCTGCAGTTTTGAATGATATTGCTTTTTGCAATTGGTTTGTCTAAACTGTAAAATATTGATATTTGTCTCATCTGCTTGTTTCAATAAACTTGTATAAAAAAAAGGGCAATTGAATTTAAATTATTAAGACGTCTTCTCCTAGAAATTTTTTAATTCGGGGGAAAAAATAAATTCTTGTAATCAAACCAAAGATCTGTAAAAACTGGGCTCGATCGGTTCCGCTGTTCGTACTATTTTGGATCCAAACGTTCAAAGAAAATTACCAAACCAACCCACAGTTTAAAAAAATCTATTATACTCCCCTCCCTACCATCTCATAACCTACCCTCCTCCCCCTCCCTCCCACCTGTAGGCTAAGGTTAATCTTGAAACCTAATAGGGCGACTATGCGGCCAAGAATTAATATTGATAGGTTAGGTAGCTACATCACTATTCATTTTGGTTAAACACTCGGAGACTTCCATACATTCTACACCAGGATAACCCCATAGATAAATAGACTGACATTATCCTCCATGCAAGGATTGGATTAACGATTCACTGATCAAGTATGAATTATATAAATGTTTATAATCTTCAAGACTACTTATTTTGTGGTTTCTCTACAGATGTGAATTATCAATATAAAAAATTTTAAACCCTAGAAAAACGAAAAATGTTTCAGGGGGTCGTTGTAAATCAGGCATTGGCATCTTTGCATAGAGGGTCTTTTGAAGCTACTCTTTTATCTTTGAAAAAGCGTGTTTTATGAAAAATTGTGTATCAAAAAAAGTTAAAACGACCTTCTTTATTGTCTAAAATGGCGACAAAATTGGAATTATTTTCGGTTATTAAATTAATTAAAATACGAATGAAACAATCTATATTTCTGGTAAAAAAAAACAGGTTACATTTTGGAAATGGCGGAACTATGAATATTTTATCATATCAGAATGCCACACTAAATATTTCAAAGATCAAATACGACGACACATTTAAGTCGTCTTTAAGCTCTGTCATGTTTAGTGAAACTCTCTGTACTAAACTGAGAGATAACTCCATACATACAATATCCCGGATAACTCCATACATACTAATTTACTGTGTGGGTTCATAACAGACCTATCTGTCATGTTCTTCTCATAGTAAACTGTCTTCACCTCCCTCTATGACTAGAAACCTATTATATTTTGTTTAACTCACGACACCATTGTTTAACTCTGCTGTAAATTATTCATAATTGACAGCAGATGGTTCGATGTTAGACAGTTGAGTTTTCTTCGGCTTCAAATATGTCTCATTGTGCAACACATACCTGGGAAAACATTACCCAGGTCACATACTAAACTCGCATCCTTGGAGGAATGGGTGGATGTTAAAGGCTGTTGCGTAAAATATTCAAGAGTTTCATTGTTTACAAGATAGGGCGGGTGTATTATGTAAAATGCGGTAAATTCTTTAAGAAAATTGCGTACTGGTGCTAAGTTATGTTATGCTCTGGGTAAACCCAGGCCAATATTATATGAGCTGATCACGAAACTTACATTTACTCATTCCCGGGTCAATTTTTAAACCTTTTCAAATCTTCCCTTTCAAGATAACCGCACCGGCTGTTTATGAACATTAAATACAGTAGTACTCATTTCCTTTCAACTTTTAGAGGGGAAATTTTCTAAAATTGTGTGATAAAGTATTTTGGTTTAAAGTGACTGTATACAAAATTTTAGAAGACATCAAGTATTTTAACGTAATTTCAAACTTTTTTTACATGATAAAGATATTGAATTTTGTAGAACTCTGACCACTGGTTTTCATTGTATAAACCCGCGGGTTTCTAAAAAAACTGAGCTAGATTCTGCTCAAACAAGTATTTAATTAGAACTAAAGAGCCACTTTAAATTACGTTGACAGTCCCTTTAAGCCTAACCCTGATCCACGAGAATCAGCCCTCTATATCTAACCTAACCTTGAAACCCTCCCAGGAATATTGATTCTATCTGTTTAACTCAAGAAATAAAATTCCAGAAATTTCCATCTAAAATACAAAGTATTTATAATAGGATGCATCTTGTAAACCAGGTCTATTTGTTTTATAACTCCTAGATTACCCGATTATATGAGTGCACTCTGTATACTGAAAAGTATAAAAAGAACTTTGTAAAGTTCAGAAATACGTTCATAAACCTCACTATCTGTGCAACCTGATGGTGTAAACCTGAAATGTTTTAAATGTTCAGACTACTTTGTCTGGCAGAATTTTCATTGTTAAATTTTAAATGTCCAAATTTGCAAAGATTTAGAGTTACAGTAAGATATCGGTTTCTTTGATAAAGAAGTTAAGTAACTCTATTGATTTGCACACCACTCTTGGAAATCCTAGGATTTGACGATATAGTTCTTTATTTATGGTTAACGAATTTAGGATGCTAATTATAGAATGAAAAGACTACACATAAACATCAATATATATTTTGATTAATCATGAACAAGAATTTTCGCGAACTTTAAATAGTTGGATATCCCTTACTTTTTGTTTGTTTTTGAAAAATAAAATATTATTCATCCAGGTGGAAATGGAAACCTTGGCTCTGTTACCATTTAGACTCAACATTTTTCGGGACTGACTGTTTTAATTTTCTCCTGGATGTTAAGCCTAATATTATACCTGCGCCTCAATTCTAAATATTAATTTGAACAAAGGTTTCCCGACTAAATGAGCTCAGAATCACGTGCTAATTGCAATCCCAAGCTTGTTAATTACAAAGCATGTTGTTAATTACCAAACATGTTGTTAATTACCAAGCAAGCGCCTTTTTACTAAAATGGGGAGGAGAAACACATGGCACTAAACTAAACATTTTTGCATTCTGCTAAAAGGAATAATTTAACCTTCTTGACTAATATGTTTTGCAAAAATAATTGATAATGATAAATCAGAAAGCATTAGATCATATTTTTTAAAGATTAGTTGTATAGAGACTTCCTGTGTTCATGACTGGGATATGTTTAATATTTAGAGTGACTTTTCTTAAAACTACTAATCTGAACCAATATTGCATTTAGTATAAAGATAAGACATATCTCTCCAATAAAGGAGAAGTTTATTTTATACGGGATTTCTTTTAGGCTTTGTATCTCTCAGTTCCAGGCCAACGTTTAGGCTGCTAAAGCAAGTTGTACAGCTTACGATAGGAATGTGAAACGGGAAAAGCGGGAATGAATTATTCCTGTCTAGTGAGATAAATAAATGTTCTAAATTAAATATGTTTAGAATGTGTTGACTGTATGTCCGATGTACCCCAGACGACCAGTAGGTTCTCGATGCCCCTGACCCAGCTAGGCAGCAAGAAGTACTACCTCGGCATTTTTTTCAAGGTATTTATAGATCAAGTGTACTATATAAGAATGTTTGAAAGAAATAAATTGAGTTTTTGCCACAATCTAATTTTTTTAATCTTTCTAATTTTGTCACCTGATGGTGTAAACCTACAATATTTCTAACTAAGATTTTTTTATCTAACATAAGTCATAATTTGAAATATCCTAGGTCTATGACATTGGTCTGCAAAGACATAGTGATCAGAATTTGTGGCAAAGTCTCAGTTCCTTTAGTCAGAATTATCTTTTTTAGTGATAAAAGTTTTATTTGTAAATAATATTTCTTTGCACCTAACAATTATGATCGACTCTAAGGGTATTTTTCAACAGGGAGATTGTAACCCCCCCATNTTCGTATTATGGTATTTAAAGAATTCTAAGTCGTGTCTGGTGCCTTAGCCTTTGTCGGTACCCTGCATAATATACAAACTTGACCGGGATTCATATTTGAATTCATGTGTCGTAATTGTAATTGGTTCTACTTTTTAAACTGGACCACGGTAAATCAGAGTAAATGACAAAATACAGGATGTTCCATGCAAAAAATACTTAAGAATTTTAAGGCTAATTTTAGATTTTCATTGTATATTTAACGATTATTGTTCTATTTTAAATTAAACTCTGAAAAATTATAATGTAATGTATATGTATGTGCTTTAACAGTCTTTACGAAATAGTGAAAAAAATATTGATATAAAAATCGTCACTTATTAATAATTCCCATGTTTATTGGGACACCTTGTACAGTTTTATAGCATTATAGCCTAATATACAAAAAAATATTTTAAAATAATTTTTATCTTAAATGTTACAAACAATTGTATGGAAGTCTCTCAAATGCTTTGTATGGAAGTATTCCACTAAGTCCAGTATTATGCATAGAAATGAGTTTATTTAGCATGCTTCCTCTATAATAATGCCTTCAGTAATAAAGATTTTTTCTAGTTTACAATCTACAAGGGATATTACGTTTACAGGGGCCGTCGGCAAAATTAGAATTCACTTTTATTTTAAGAGTTGCATTTCCGATTCAAAACTGCACTCCAATGAGCTCTAGACATCCCTGAAAGTTGGTCATCAAACGTTTAGACAGCCCCGAGTTTTAAAGTGTTCCAATCCCTTGGCCTTAAATTTTACCTCACCTACTAACTTATACTTTTGTACAGCCATAAACAAAAACATTTTAAAATTTTAACGCGCGTGTTTCTATTTTAAGTTCTTAAGGAGTAATTGGCAAAATTTTCGCGTTTGAGCGTGCAAATCCCCCAATTTAAAAAAATAAATTTTCAGATAAAAGAACAAGGATATCTTTATTATTTTTTCTCAGATGACAGCTTAAGGGTACCATTATGAATCTGGCATCTATATTCCTCTTTAAATGAAGAATCACTTAGTATTAAAGGGACTGTAAAGAAAAAATTAAAGGGGGTATAGGCTGAAACCTTTATTATATTTAGTTGAAGTGTTTAGGTTTTTTTTTTAAAGAAAATGCTTTAATATTCGTTGAGTTATTTCAGCTCGATCATTTGAATGCATATTGCAAATATATATATATTATACATGCTTATAGTTTAGATATTTAGTTAAGATAGTAAAGAAAGATTTTTTTTGCAATAAATGCACTTGTTTTCCGGCCTAGAGAAGGCCTGAATGGAAAATCATGAATATCTGGAAATCTGGGCGCTTCATACCATTCAACTTGATAAATAATTTCTTAGTGTTTTAATTGCTATTAAAAATGTAGCTGCACGACGTCTATCTCTTCTACGGGGTGTCCCAATAAACATGGGAATTAAGTGACGACTTCTATATCGTCTTTGTTCCATGCGGCAGTATTTAGTGAACACAATTTGTGTAGAACCCCAAATAAAACATTTAAAACATAAGTCTCATAGTTTCTGGATTTCCGGTATGTGTTCTACCATTTTTGAACCTTCAAAATTGACGGAGATATTGAAATGTTTGTCAAGATTCCAATTTAAAGAAAGGAAACAAAATTGCTCAAATGTTTGATATCTCCGTCAATTTTAACGAACGAATCAAAGATGGATGACTTTTTGCACGAAATTGCGCATTCATTCGAAAAAAAATCATTTTTTTGCACGAAATTACGCATGAATATAGAATTTAAAGGGAGTGTTCGCGAAAAATGAAAGGGGGTATAGTCTTGCGGCGTCGGCGAAAAATAATTGCTTTTAATCGCTACTAAAATCTTACTTTTATCTGTTGCGTCTCTAAGGAGAAAATTGTTAAAAAACCACTTATTCTGAAGAACGTAGCGTCCATACAAATTCAGAAAGTTGTAATATACGCCTCGTATCGTAAAATAATCAATTTAATTTCTAACAAATAATTCAGATATTACAACCTACAGTTATCGATTATTTTTTGACAAATTCGTATATAGTTAATATTTCAATTTGATATTTGTTTTATATACAATGCACTTTAAATGTCTTTTTCCGATAGGTGTCTCTGCCACGTGTAATCATTCAAAGCAATGAGAGCAGAGTCATCTATTCCCAACTATTTCGGCGTTTAAGTGATTATTATAAGCTGCACATTTCGAGATATTTTCTTAGAATCAGAATGTAAAAGATGAGTATACGCAAAGGATGCTAACTCGGATCAAATTAAATTACATGTTTTTAATCACATTTCTCTTATTAAAGAGCCATTAAGCTGGACAGACATGTTTTGAATTTGTTTGTAACCAAATAAAGGAATTGAGTATTTGCCACAAACTATGATTTCATAATTCCTATATCTTTGCAACCCTATGTCGTAGACCTTAGACATTTCAAACTATGATATCTATTAGATCAAATAATCTAAGTTTGAAATATCAAAGGTTTACGCCATTAGGCTGTATAAATATAGGGATAAGAAAATTTGAGTTTGTGTCAAAAACTCAATTCCTTTGCTTCTCTTTTACTTGTACATTACAAAGTCGTAACTCGTATTAGTAACAAAGTCTCCCTTTTTTATTGTAAGAATAAGCACCTTAACCCTATCCCTGCTGGGGTACTTGAAAACCAGGATATGCTGGGCCGGGGGGGGGGGTCAATTTGACCCCCCCCCCTCCTGAATCCCATGTTTTATGTCCAAATATGACAAATGATACATCATTTGAAAGCTCTTGTGCTCTACTTTTAGAATCTGCAAAAAAATTTGCAAATTTGCAAAAAATTAATTTTTTATCGCAAAATCCAAGTGAAAGTGGGTCAAAACAAAGATTTAGTTTGTTACAGGCAAAAGCAGTCATTCAGGCAGTGTGCCTGAGAACTCAGGCAGTTAGTATTAAAGCCCGGTTTTAGGCCTAAAGGGAGGGCTTTGGGAATGTAAGAAAAATCAGAAAATTTCAACAGCCAATACTTTTTGAGTTATGTAAAAAAAAATACAGGGGGGGGGGTCAAATTGACCCCCCCCCCCCCAGCAGGAATAGGGTTAAAGCTTGAAACTTTGAACCAACGGAACCAAGTTTAACCTATTCTCTATTCTCAATTTGCATTGACCAATAAGGAAGGAGAAACTAAATCATTTGATTTACATTAATTTTCATTTAGTAATTTTGGCCTCAAAGAAATCTGACACATTTAACCTATATATGAAAATTTGTTTTGAGCTGATTTCTCCTTCGTGTGGATATTTTGATCCAATATTCTTTTTATCCGTGAACTTTCTATTCCGAAGCAATAAGCTATATATACTATGAAATATGGGTCTTGGTAATATTTGATGTATTGTGTATTGTGTTCATAAGAAAAATAAGGAAAAGTATTTGAAAGGAAATATTCAAATCGGTAGCTCCGTTATCCGGAAATTATCTTATCAAAAATGTTTTATATATATTTACTTTATTTCCAAAGAACCATTCTAAAAAATAATTTCCAATGCTATATTTATAAAATTTTGTTGTTGTTGATAATATCCGAATTCTTGAATCTTTTTTCAGATGTTAGCAGTTTTTTTGTGAAAAAATTGAAGTATAAGACAATGTTTTTGTTCAATCTTTTTATATCGCTCAGGGGAATGTAAGAATGATTCTGTGCATACAGGAGATTTATGGGTATGACGATATAAGAAACTTAAAGAATCCGGAATCTTTTATCTGGATCCACGTGAAAATATGGATACATTAAATAACATAAGTTTAAAATCTTAAAGGTTTCCTCCACCATAAAGTTCCAAAGATATAGGGATTGGAAACTTGAGTTTGTTGCAAAAACTCAGTGTACTTTTTTGCCTTTTTCTTCCACTGCTAAAGCTTTTAACGACTTAAACGTTTCTATTTTCGATCAACCTTTCCACGTGTTCAATACTTCTTTAACAATATTTTTGCTTATATTAGTGAATTATCTAGCTATTAACGTCACAAAAACAGTTTCCGAAAAGGCGATATAACCCTGATTTTTGCCAAATACTGTTTGATATTTAAAACCATCCCTGTTTCGAGTAAAAACATTTAAATATTTAAAAAAAGGAGTTTGTGGCAACGATTCAATTCCTTATAATACCCCTGGTAAACACATACAGTTTTCACCATTCCATGGAAGGACTCAACCCCCCGTGCCGCTTGTAAACGCCCCTGAAAACATTTTGTTTTATTAAGGCAAACTGGTACAAGGCAGAACAGTACTGTAGATTCCACGGGATGCATCTTGCCTCAATAAACCATGCTAACGAACAGAAAGATCTAGAAGAACATATTGAAAGCTTTGGTAAGTTCAACAAAAAAAAATGTTTTTTTTGATTATTTAATAGACAAAAACAAATAGACATCATTTAATTATTATTATTATAATTTTTGAAGTTTTAGGATCCTTTATTTAACTCTAAAATTCCTACTTTTTTATTTTCTTCTGTGTGCTTCCTTTCATTTTTCTTTTGCCTCTTTTTTACCTTTTTCTTTTCCTTCTTTTCTCCTTTTTTCCCTTCTTTTTAAAATTCTTTTCTTCTTTAGTTTCTTTCCATTTATCCTTTTCATTCCGCTTTTGTTAACCTGAAGGGAAATGTCTCTGTGACACTGAGACCTGGTCTCTGTGACACTGAGACCTGACCGGAAGTGTATCTGTGACACTGAGACCTGACCAGAAGAGAACTGAACGCGTGAAACTAAGCAAACCAACCCAAAGTTAAGAAAAAAATCTCACTTCCTCACACTGGCTCATACTTTTTTATTTAACTTTGCATATGTTTTTTAGGACTTTCCAAAGTCTCCAATGGCAGGGTTTTCATAGAATAATGAACTTTTCTGTTGGAAAATATCCCATAAATTTTTACCCTGACCATTAAACTTTGATTTTAAGCAGTTGCCCTATAAAAAATTAGTTTTCGTAGTTGCCTTTGGTAAATTGTCTTGGAAAATTAGCCTTTGAAAGTTGCTTTTCCTGTTGATGCCTTTAGAAATTAACCTTTGGAAGTTTCCCAATGGAATGTTTTCTGGGATTTTACCTTTGCAAGATTTCCCTTGGAACGATTTTCTTTTGTAAAGTTTGTTCCATGCTGACATTTGGCTCCATTAAATTAAACAGCTTTACATTATCCGTTAATTAACTCTTTAAATTGAAAAGATAAATTCTCATTTTAAGAGGAAATTACAAAATTTTAAAAAATATGTATTTGAAAAAATTTCAGGGTAATAAATATTTCATAAATAATTTAATTTAGAAAAAAATTAAGAAAAATTATTTTCTTTTGGCAGTACAATCTTGTATTTTTCAAAAGTAGATACAAAAATTAACATGAAAGCAGTGAAACCAGTGTTAAGGTTTGGATTTCATTAGGAAAGTATACCATGGCCCATGTTTACCCCTGATATCTTTGTTTACAAAATCTAGCGTACTGTAGTTTCTGGGAGGAATATAAACAAAGCTTTAAGGTCATAGATATAGAGATTAAAAATCAGAATTTGGGCCAAGTGTTCAGTTTTGTTTTACATTACTCTAGAAACTGCAGTACATTTTTTATGTTAACATGAAGTGGAAATTCTTCGTGTATATTTCGTTGGTTTAAAGGGAGTGTTCGCGGAACATAAAAGGAGTATACAATCGACTATCAGCTCTAGACATTAAAGACGCTGTAGATAGAACTAAATTAAATAGTGAACGAATCCAAATTGATTTGGATTTAGCCTATATCCCATTTCATTTTGCGCAAACATTCCTATTAATGATTTTTTCAAAGAATTGGGTTGGTTTGTCTCCAGGTAGGTATACCCCTGTATCCGCTAATCTAACCTGCATGTTTTCACTAGGGATGGGACATGAACATTTCTGGACTAGTGGAACCGATCAGGCTGAGGAGGGGAAGTAAAATATATATATATTTATTTGTATGTTCAATGCTGTGTACTTTGAATTTAATTTTTTTCCCTGGAAACATTTATTTTCAAAATAACTTTTTTAATGATTAATACACAGGAATATATTTGTTAAAGTTTGTTCTTCCTAATAGTATGTAGATATTTGCTGATGGTTTTTAACTAATGTTTTTTTCATTTCTTTCATATATAGACATGTATATTTGTCTTTTTTCTGGTTGTCTATAGCATTTTTGTCGGTCACCTGGAGTAGTCAGGGGCCTAGGGGGCCAAAATAAGAAAATGGTCCCTCAAAAAAACTCATGTGTTCTTTAATGATGAACGAAAAATACGTAGTAGACACATAAACGACATCAAATGTACATAAATTTGTCATTTAGAAAAAACATTAAGTAGTTTAAATAATTTTGTGTTTCATATTTTCAATATTTGATTTTTTAAATATTTCAATGCACATTAGGAGCCAAATATACGTAATTTTAGTTCAGATTGTTGTTATAAAATGTTACATAAACAAAATGATAACTTCCTTTTATTAAGATATGGTGAAAATATGAATGAATAATTGAATATGCAAATTATAAGTTCTTAAACATTATTGAATCTGTTGAAATATGGAGATCCGGTGTAAGTGAAAATGAATTCAATGTGTAAAATCCTCGGTTTTATTCCATTTTCAATTCAAAGATGATAAAAGTTCTTTATCTAATCCTGAGAAATGTATGATATCAAGGGTTTCACTTTGAGCCCACAGTTGGAGGAAGAGAAAAATTGTAAACTCTGTACTGTACTGTACTGTACTGTACCGTACTGTACTGTGCTGTGATGTGCTGTGCTGTACTGTACTGTACTGTATTGTACTGTACTGTATTGTACTGTACTGTACTGTACTGTACTGTACTGTACTGTACTGTACTGTACTGTACTGTACTGTACTTGTACTGTACTGTATTGTACTGTACTGTACTGTACTGTACTGTACTGTACTGTACTGTACTGTACTGTACTGTACTGTACTGTACTGTACTGTACTGTACTGTACTGTACTGTACTGTACTGTACTGTACTGTACTGTATGGTACGGTACGGTACGGTACGGTGCTGTACTGAACTGTACTGTAATGTGCGGTATTTTAGTGTACTGTACTTTACTGTACTGTATTGTACAGTATTGTATTATACTGTATTCTATTGTACTGTACTGTATTGTATTGTACTGTATTTTACTGTACTGCATTTTACTGTACTGTATTGTACTGTGCGGTATTGTACTGGACTGTATTGTACTGTACTTTATTGTGCTGTACTGTATTGTGCGGTACTGTATTGTACTGTACTGTATTTTACTGTACTGTATTGTACTGTACTGTTTTGTACTGTACTGTATTTTACTGTACTGTATTGTACTTTACTGTATTGTACTGCACTGTATTTTACTGTACTGTGTTTTGCTGTACTTTATTGTACTGTGTTGTAATGTAATTTACTTTAATGTAGCATACTGTACTATAATTGATTGTACTTAACTATACTACAATTTATCGTCTTGCACTGTTCTGTACTATACTAGTACCGTACTGTATTGTACTGTACCACGGTAAGGTACGTTTTTTTGCAACGTATGAAATGGAATTAGCAAAACTATTGATGGAGTTAGGTTTAATGACGTTTTTCATATTCAAATTAAAAACTTTTGAACTAATGCTGACATTTTTTTCAAGATGTGACAGTCATTACATTTTTGTTCCAAAAGTTTTACGTATTACATACTTTTAACTTTTGCTAAGTATTTTTATTGGTAGAAATTATTTGGAGAATGGGACACTTTTCAGACTAGAGGTTTCAACTTTTTACAAACTCATAGACAGAGGGCTTAGAAAACGAAACCTTTAGAAAAATAGACTTCAAGTTTTAAAATTTAGATTATGAATGATCAAATGTAAAAACAACTAGTTTGCTTTTTAACTGTGGCAACGTCTAAAGGAGGAGTCACGGTTTCAGTACGGTTTTTGGACAATACTGATTTTGGAGGGCATCTTCCCCTGCATCAAAATTGCTATGAATTTCAATTTAAAGACTAGTTCCACTTTAAAGTTCCGCAACACCTTGGCCTTTAATGTTACCTCACTAACTTTTAAATGCCGAGACATGTACAATGTACATTTTAGTTTAGAACCATAATACATTGGTTTTTAGCCATACTTTTAAAGAAGTGATTGGAAACATGATCATCAATTTTAGCGTAAGAGCTGGCAATCTTTGGATCAATGAAATCGGTACAATCTTAATTTGTATCCGAATTTTTTTAATGTAATTGCAATCCTTCCTCAGGAGCTAGAATGTTCTATTAAAAAACGGGTTTTCCACTGTCTTTCAATGTTTCTTTAACCCTCTCTACAGAAATATTTGAGAGAAATTAAAATAGTATATAATCATACTTTGGTTCATTCATTATACACATTCATTAATTCTTAACAGTCTCTTAAAGGAACCGTTCACTTATTTGGGTATTTTCATGGTAAACTAATTAGCATTAGCTATTCTTACTTCTCAACGATATCTATAACCGGAGAAAAAGCCGATTTATCGTTTAGAATTCCAGCGGAAAGCCATTATATAATAAAATATAAAAACTTTTGATTTTAGAATAAGCAAGAAATTAACGTTTTTCGTATTTAAACAGATTTCACAAATTAACACGTAAATACAAAGACGACTTTGTCCTACAGACAAATCGGTTCCTAGATTCCAACTAAATCACGGGAATTTCTGAGGAAGTGAGAAAATAGACAATTTTAAAATAATTTTGAAAAAATTAAAGATGTCTACAAAAACTGTTAGATACTATAACAATTGAATTTAATATTTAAAAATTTCTAAAAATCCATAACTATGACAAAAAGCATCAAATTTTGTCTTTGCTAAGGTATGATACCTTTGCACTTAGACTAATATACCAATGACTAGCTAATAGGCTATTTAGTTTACCATCAAATTACCCAAATAAGTGAACGGTCCCTTTATGTGTGTGAAATTTTTCTGAAATAGAGGCAACTAGATATTGTTTATTAAATGCATTTTTCACAAATATTAAAAATGGCTGTCGCAAATGGGGTTTAATGATAAGAAATGTGAAAAAAGACAAAAAAATGTTGAAAAAATTATCAAATTGGATATCATTTTATGAGTAGACTTAAACTAATGTACTTAAAGAAAAAATAATGTTTGACCATAACTTGCCCAATTTTCAATGTTTTTCAATTCTGTAAATTGTTTTAAACTCCGGTTTTCAAGCCGGTTCCATGTATACGAATATTTCAAAGATTTTCAAATTTTTCATTTTCACTAAGACTACACATATTTTTACAAGTTTTATGACTAAACCCCATTTGGGAAGCAAATTTTTGAATTTTGTGAAAAAAGTATTTTAGAAATATGCCTTAGAATTCCAATTTTGCTTCTGTAAAATTGATTCAGAAAAATGTCCCACCCCATAGGTCTTCATAAATCTTTTTTTCTTTAGATTTTTCTGGATGTCCACCGGTAAACCCGTGACCTACGAGAACTGGAACGCAGGAGAACCAAACAATTTTAGGTAAACCTTGTTTCAGGTTCTACTCCGGGTTGTCGGTAGTACTGGCGCATGATCCTTGTCACTCTATGTCATGGAACCACATGTTATGGCAGAATCAATGTTTCTCTAGGAAGTAAAAAAACACTACCACTAGTTTCGGAGCTCCGGGTTGTTAAAAAAACTGTCAATATTCATGTAACTCCAGTTAGTTAGAAACACTTGTCATCTTCATGTTACTCCGATTAAATAGAAACACTGCCAATCTTCGTGTTGCTCCGATTAAATAGAAACACTGTCAATCTTCGTGTTACTCCGGGTAGATTGAAGAGCATATTGCTAGGATTCACATTTATCTGGGTAGATGAAAAACACTAGCAAAATTCTTGTCGGGGTCAATACCCAGTTGAAAATAATTGAACAGTCCCTTTAAAAAATACAACAAATAAAATGTAGTAAATTTGGAGTTACATTTTGGTTCTTTATCCTAAGGATAAAAAGAAAAATTATGTTTCTTGGTGGAAATAAAAATTGTACATTCTAAAATCAAGCTCAATCAAAGGTGCAAAAAATGTTCCAAGTTTGTGAAATCTCATTAATCAAATTAATCCCGTAGAAAAGATGTTTTATAAAGGTAAAGTTGAAGGAGGAAAGTTTATAAGAAAGTTTTAGGAAAATAAACATCTGTGAATAGGAGGATCAAAGAAGGAAAAAAACACAAAGTTAGATAAACAGGCAGAAATATTGTTAGATAGACAAATTTGATATTACAAATGAATATGTTCGACAATTTATATAAGATAAAACTCAATTGATTAAAAGTTGTATGCTGCTCTCAAAATAGATATATTTTCATAAATTAACATACACAAAACAAAAAACAAAGTGGCTGTTTTATTTTCTTTGATCAATGTTTCATTTTTACCAATTTAACCCTCTTCTAATGTTCTGAGACCCTGATCAGTTATAATAATTTTAAGGTTCGAAAAATTTCGAATTCGACTGAGTCAAAATTTCAACTTATAAACCATTCTAATCTACTATTAACTTTTATAAAAAATTAATTTATCTAAAATTATATTTAAACTTTTGTTGAAATGTTGAAGTAAAAAAAAATTTCTGTTGTGCATGTTAAAAGAAAGTTTTTTGGGACACATGAATATGATGGAATATCTGCGAATAAATTTCATGTTATATATATATTTCAAAATGCACAATTTTAAATTTAGGAATGATAAAATATAATTAAAATATAATTTTAAACCCAATAAAAATGATATATATTGCTATGCATTTGATTAATAACTAGTTAGTTAGAAGCAGTGCGGTAAAGTTAGTGTTTAAAGGGAATTCACTAATTTCATTTCAAATAATGTAACTTTACAATTAAATACACACTAAATTCATTTAGAACTTCCAAATCAAATTTATCTAGTTTATAAATACGACAATTCAAAATGTATTGAAGAGTGAATTCATGAATTTATGAAAGAATGAATCACTATAGTTTCAGTAGAGGTAAATCTACTGTTTAACCCTGATTTAAGAATTTATATCTAATTGGATGATGAGATAGATAGAAAGATAGATGATACTGCTATGCAATTTCTATTGGTTCAGAATAGACACCTAACACATGACTAAACCCTGATTGGTTCAGGCGCTAATGGAAATCGTATACAAAGTGCGAAATAATGAATGAAATTAGGAAATAAAAAAAATGAAAATCTATATTAAATGAATTTATGTAAGGTTTTATAATTGAATTTATGAATAAGTGAATAAATGAATTCACCAAAAAAAAAGAAAGACATAGAGCTGACTGAATAAATAAATGAATAGTTGAATATAGAACAGAATAAGAACCTGGATGAATGTGAGTGAATAAAATGAATATATTCAGATATGAGAATGGGGAAGAGGAGCACTGTATGGAACTGTGGAATAGAGACGGAAAGGTAAAAAAATAGTAAAATATTTGTAAAAAAAAACTTTTTTAAAACCTTTATTTTAGGGCCTTCGATGGAATGACACCCCATGCTCTTTCGAGACATTTTTCGTTTGTGAAGTTTAAAAATTATCATTTGTATATTAAGAGACTGAAATTGTTCAAAATGGAGATTAAAATATGTTTTGTATTTTAATCTTCAAATAACTTTTCCACTCTATTACGCCAGTAAGGATGTATGCGAGTCTTATTTTTATCCGTTTATGTTCCAAGAAAAAAAAAATAACTTAAAAATACCTCATTTTTTAATCAGTAGACACTCCCTTTTTTACCTTTTTTTCCTCTATTGTTATTATTTGTTATTTTTTGAAATATTTTGTTATTTGTGACAATGTCTAACATAAAAAACCAAAGAAAACATTATGTTTTCTGAGGCATTATAAAAAATAAGTTTTGAATAAAAAAGATTATGTTTTGAATAAAAAATGTTTGACTGTGCTTATGTATAAATCTCTCTGTTAACTTTGAACAATTTTTAATTCTTAACATATCATTGAAATCTTTTTAAATAGTTTATATTTCAAATCATTTGTCAAAGTGTTTTAATTTTCTGCCATGCAAAGAATCCGCTCATTTCTAATGTCTTCAAGGAACCCAAAAGCCAAAGAGGTCGGCTAAGATTGCTGCAACCTCTCTTCTAAGGTTTTGTTTCAGCTCATCCAGATTTTAAGGTTTAGAAGTATTCAGTATAAACTTCGGATTTGAGAAAGCCATACAGAGATTTTTGAATATTTGAATATACAGTTTTACACCAAACAGAAGCAACGGACGACAAAATTACTTAAACGATCCCTTCCAATATTGAAAACTATGCATTTGGAACATTTTGGAATCTTTCAAAATTATTTAAATTGCTTAAAATCCTTATTCCATTTAAAGGCAATGAACATGTAATTTCTAAATTTGGATGTTTTTATAGTCTGATGTTGTGTGCTTTAAATATATCAAGCTATGTATTTTCTACGGTGTACACCATCAGGTTGCAAAGATATATTGAAATTGAATATAAAAGAGGATGATGCATTTCTTTTTTGGTCAGGATTTTTAATGATTTACTTTTAACAGAATTATTTCATTAGCATTATTATTTAGTCGCCCATTATGATCGGAATCACATCAAAATAAAGTAAATTGCCGGTAATAAAGGAATTGAGTCTTTGCCACAAACTCTGATTTTCTAATTACTAAATCTTTGGAACCAAATGTTGCAGACCTTAGATATTTTAAATTATGAATTCTGTTAGATCAAATAATCAGAGTTTGAAATATCAAAGGATATTCAGGTTTAAATATTTGATTTTGTTCCAAAGACTCAATTCTTTTTTGCTTTTTAAGGAACTTTTGGGGAGAGCAAAAAAATTTAAAATTTTAATATTTAACCGAGTCTATTAGCTTTCATCATATTTAAGTGTAAAATCAAAACTAGAGAAACTACTAGGTCACAAAATTGTACCCGTAATTTGACCTTCTAGATGTCGCATTTGTGGTGGAATGTTTCTAAATTATATATCTATGACGCAGGTTCTCTGAGAAATGATGATGTATGAAAAATTATTCTGTAGTTTCCATGTTTTATAAGTTTTATTTCAATTCAAGATAAATCCAACTTTTGCAAATACATATCAAACCCTTACACAGTGAACACTGAACACACTGAACACAGTACACAGTACTAGAAGATTATTATTGGTTCCCGTAGAATACCACTGTGTTCTCCTCACTGTAGATCAGCTGTCTAACCAATCAGAAGCAAACAGCAATATATATCTAGTTAATTTATAATTAAAATCTTAAATGTTTTCAACGACCATAACTCCTTAATTGAAGATATTTTGAGGAGAATAACAATGTTTTGAATTACTAATATGTACCGCATTATGTACCCAGATGTACCGCATTATGTACCCAGATGTACCGCATTATGTACCCAGATGTACCGCATTATGTACCCAGATGTACCGCATCATGTACCCAGATGTACCGCATTATGTACCCAGATGAATTTGTTTTTCTCACACTTGGTCTTGAGCGTAAAATCAGAGCAAGAGGAGACACGAAGGTTATAAATTCATACCAGTAATGTCGCATAAATTTAAGTGAGAATTATTCTTACAGATAGTTATGATAAGTGTCACGGCAGATCAGAGTGATGATAGATCTCACTCTATTCGGTAAATTTCAAAATGTTGATAAATATACATATTTAAAAGGTACATTTAAAAGCAAAAAGTACATAATGATTTCTTCTAACCTGCAATATTGAGGAAGAAATTATAAGATTAGAACTAAGGGCTTCCATAAAAATAATTAGATAGATACTGCGCATCCCAATTATTTTTCTATTTACGACCCGTGTTTCTAGTTTTTTATTGTTGGGCTAAACCAACGTTTTTAATATTACTAGTATTAGTCCAGAGGTATTTAACAGATCAAAGTGTGATGGAGTTTTTTTTTACACATTCCGGGCATATTCAGCTATAACTAGATTTGCGTGATATGATTTTAGACACAAAAAGGGAAAGGTTAAAATTACGTTTGAAAAGAAATTAAATATTTGTAACAATCAAACAAGTTATCAATAAAATTGTCGGGACATCGTAGAAGTTATAGAAAATTCCGACTCTATTCCAATTTTTACACCCTGACCCATGACGTTTCGTTGTTTTTACGTAAACGTAATCCATTTCTAGGTTTTCAGAACTATTGTTTATCACATACCTTTTACTACGTTTTTTCAAAAATCGTCATTCTCAGAAAAAAAAAAACATTTTCCCCATAACACTTTAAAATATCGCAGATCTTTTAAATCGTTTTAATGACGTTTCAATACTTTTTAAAAATCTTTTAGGATTATGACTGTAGTTTGTAAATGAGGATTGTAATTCAAGTTGTAAAATATTTCAGTTTTTGTTTCATGTTTTTTCTTTTGTTTTCGAAAACTGAGTTTTCACCTCAAATCTAAAGCATCAAAGTAATTTTCAATCCAAGAATTGAGGTTTTTTTTCAGAAGATATCTCAATTCTTTTACAGAGATAGAAAGTAAGATTATCCTATGTCAAAAAGTATAATTTTTGAAAGGTGATAGATATATTGCAAAAAAAAATGAAAAGTGTTTTTAAACAACAAATAAAAGAAATGTGAAAATAAAAAGGCTAAACATGAAAGCCCAAAAACGATGAAAAATAATCTTTACGATGCCAAAACCGTTTGAACCTGTCTGTATTTGACCTTTACATTTTTGCGTTATCCCCCAGCTCCACCATTGCAGAAAAGCCTTTTATGAAAGATTAAGTAATTGCAGAAATGATATAATTTGATAAGATATATTTTCTCTAATTGAGTGTTAAGGAAATATAACCTGAGGTAGAACCTTTCTTGTGAGATTTCATATAAACTACAACGCTTGATCTTGATATCAAATCTGACAACTTCTTAATTTTAGTTTCAGCAATCGGAGTTAATTTAATCCTTTGTAACGACAGAAGATACGGAAAACTGCTTAATCTCAAGACTCGCAACACACAAGTTTTAACCTCTGGATAAATCTATGCTGTGGCTCAAAGAAACAAACGTAGAAACGTGATTAAAGAAAAAAGAAAATCTGATAAGAAAAGTAGAATTACAATATCGCAAAGTAACTTGGGTTAATTTTAAATTAAAAACAAAAAGAACCATTGGTTAAAATAATTAAAATAAATTTATTTTAAGAAGAAAACGGATACATTTGATAACCTTAATTCCTAAACTAACCTATTTACGTTAATACTACAGTGAGACTAATAAAACTGTGGAATAAGAAGACGAGGGTCGATCAAGCTCTGTCTTAAAATAGTTTAAAGGGAGTGACCGGCTATGTAAGGTAGTTGAACTGAGTATGCAGTGTTGTGGAAAGCTTCTTTCGGATTCATTTGAGACATATTAAACTTTTTAAAAAAAGAAGTTTTCCACAACACTGCATACTCAGTTCAACTACCTTACATAGCCGGTCACTCCCTTTAATTAATTTGAGCATTGAAATGGTGAAGCAAGTGTGCAGTGTACACAGATTCATTATGTTGATTATCTAGCTACTGACTGGTAAAACTTTATGAATAACATCAAATACGCATAAGATTGCTTCATTAAATGGCGTCTTCATAATCCTGCAAATTTACTAGTAAAATCATATGATTCATAACATTAAAAAGGACATGAGATGCTAAAATGTCGTCTTCATAATTAAAATTTACTTAAACTATGCTTCATAGCATTATCAAATGCACATAAGATTTCTTAAATGTCGTCTTTATACTGCAGAGGTTTATGGTTCCCAGTGTAGGATATTAGAATCAAAAGGAGGCAGGTTTAAGATAAGAAATAGAAAGAAAAATCTGGTTTTGAATCTGGTAAAGTTATTCTACTTTTATCAGAACTTTGTCTCCGTTTTCAGTCTCAAGGGGATTAAAGATTTTACACTTTTTTAGATACAGTGTATCCCGGAAATTATAATACTTCCTTTTCATTTCGAGTTTAAGATTGTACGAAATAATGCTCACTCCGAGATTAAGTCTACAGAATGTTAAAAAAAAATAAGTTAATTCTGGAGAGATGATTTTTGTTTTTTGATCTATGGTTGATTTCTTTCTTCATGTTTAAAGGAATTGAGTTTTTGCCACAAACTCAAATAAAATAATCTCAGTTTAAAATATCTACACGGTTACAACATCCGGTTGCAGAAATACAGAGATTAGAAAATTAAAGTTTGTGGCAAAAACTCAATTCCTTTTAATACAAAGCAAGAAATATTACAAAGAAGCAATGAACAGAGGAGTCTGGGAAGTAATCATCATCATTGGAGTACTATTGGAGTACTATTGGAGTACTAGTGGAGTACTATTGGAGTACTATATTGGAGTCCTATTGGAGTACTATTGGAGTACTATTGGAGTACTATTGGAGTAATATTGGAGTACTATTGGAGTACTATTGGAGTCCTATTGGAGTACTATTGGAGTACTATCGGAGTCCTATTGGAGTACTATTGGAGTACTATTGGAGTGCTATTGGAGTCCTATTGGAGTACTATTGGAGTACTATTGGAGTCCTATTGGAGTACTATTGGAGTCCTATTGGAGTACTATTGGAGTCCTATTGGAGTACTATTTGAGTACTATTGGAGTACTATTTGAGTACTATTTGAGTCCTATTGGAATACTATTGGAGTACTATTGGAGTACTGTTGGAGTACTATTGGAGTACTATTGGAGTACTATTGGAGTACTATTGGAGTACTATTGGAGTACTATTGGAGTACTATTGGAGTCCTATTGCAGTCCTATTGGAATACTATTGGAATAGTATTGGAGTCCTATTGGGGTACTATTGGAGTCCTATTGGAAAACTATTGGAGAACTATTGGAGTACTATTGGAGTACTATCGGAGTACTATTGGAGTCCTTTTGGAGTACTATTGGAGTACTATTGGAGTACTATTGGAGTCCTATTGGAGTACTATTGGAGTACTATTGGAGTACTATTGTAGTACAATTGGAGTCCTATTGGAGTCCTATTGGAGCACTATTGGAGTACTATTGGAGTACTATTGGAGTACTATTGGAGTACTATTGGAGTCCTATTGGAGTACTATTGGAGTACTATTGGAGTACTATTGTAGTACAATTGGAGTACTATTGGAGTCCTATTGGAGTGCTATTGGACTACTATTGGAGACCCCCCATGGAGGTTTCGTTGGAGACTTACAGATTTTCGTTCCCATACTCAAAGTATGTTGTTTTGATTGAATTTAAAATTAAACTTTTTAAAATTGATAAAAATATTAAATAGATAATTGGTAGATAGAGAAATGATAAATTTTAGATAGATATAGATAGAAGATATATAAATAGATAGAAAGTGTGAGTGGAAGGGCAAATACTGCACAACTAGTATTCTCACTTCAAATTCAATTTGTCCCTAACTTGAAGAACTATATGCACTACAGCAAACTACAGCTATTTCAATATTTGCATCACAATCTAGGAGGTGTCCGGGGGTCCAATAGAGTTGGATAAAAGAGGTTTCGTGATTTTTCCCCCAACAAAATTATTACACAAATGAATTCCTGATATTAATTAATTAATAATTTACATTGCATTCAGTAAAGAGGATCATTTAAGCTTTGTAGCCTACTAAGCATCGTTTTATCAACTACTATGCCCACAAAAAGGGGATCGTCTCGGGCGTGTATGAAAAATGTTGCTCTGAAAGGGGATTGTCTCGGGCGTGTATGAAAAATGTTGCTCTAAAATACCGTTTTAACCTTCAAATCAAAAGTATGCCTAATATTCGGAAATATGCTCGGTCTCTTTTCCGAAGATTTTTCAAAGCAAGCAAAAAAATATCTTTTTCTTTAAAGATGCATGATTGCATTTAATATATAAGATTGCAGTTAACAACAATCTATATAATAAAACAAGACGTTCGTTTAAATGTTCCCCATAGCCATTCAAACGACTGGACCGAATAGGCTGATTTTTTTTGGAGAGAACCCATGAGTACCCTGTTTGTCCTATGTTACCCCCAGTAACATAGGATAAACAAATTCTAAAATTTATATTGTTAAAATTTTTTTTAAATCTAAATTTGTTCTCAATTTTTCTCAAATCAGCGAACTATCTAATGTTTTTTTTTTTAAATCTGATACAGGGTGTCCCAAAAACATGGAAATTCAATGACGAATTCGATATCGACTTTGTCATGAATTAGCATTATATAATACCTAATTTCAAAAGCCATAATATTATTATGTCTACTAGAGTTTATTTTATGAAAAAGGTAAAAGACTGTAAAGATTGTCTACAATGTCTCCGCAAGATGAACAGTGAAGACGGACAAGTTTACTCTGTTTGTATTCTGCAATTTTCTTGTTTTACTAAGTACAACCGTATGCAGTCTAATCATAAACAAACAAATTTTATAAACATAGCAGACGAAAATCTTACAGATTACAGCTTTCTCAGTTATAGGTATCACTATACTAATTCAAAGAATTATTTAAAAAGACGATATTGAATTCGTCACTGAATTCCCATGTTTATTGGGACACCCTGTACATGGATAAAATCTGTCCTTCACAGACCCATAAAAGGAGTAGAAAGTCCAAGTTTTACTATTATGTTTGCTAATATTTTTTAAAAAACCTTTAATCAGAGGTTTCAACCTTTTTTCTCAAACTTTTAACGGATTTAAATTCTTTGGAGAAAATAGTATACATCATAAAAATCTTTGCCCCATTTCGTAAATTTTAAAAGAAAACTGTCAGTTTTGAGTTGGTCCGAAAAAATAGAAGATATATAATTTCCAATAACCAATAAAAATGTTGTAATTAAACCCCCTTTTATAATTATAACAGAAATGAAGGGTATGACCCAAATTTTTGACTAACACACTTTTATTTTATATTCTTGAATAAATTTTACATAACCCCGCCCCCCCCCCTGGGGAGCAACCTCAGTATACTCAACAGGCCACGGTCAATTTCCTATGCATAGAAAATACAAGCGACAATATTGAGAGAAAATTCAAAATGAATATTTTAAAGGAGAGACGTTTTCTTGAGAGAGTAGAAAGGGTCGAGTCTAACCTAATTTATTCAGATACGTCGGGGGCGGAAATATACGACATAAAAATAAGAATTAATCTTCTATCCTAGATAAAGTTGATTTAAAAAATCAAATGAATTTTGGAATCAAAAAATTTAATAAATTCTCGTGACCCCCATCGTATTGGATCGTGTATGAATTTTTTTCCAATAAATAATTATTCCTCTAAAATTGAATTAAATCTAAAAAACAAAGGAAATGAGTCTCTGACACAAATTCTGGTTTTCTCTAAACCCTATATTTTTCCAACCCTTAGATATTTAACTCAATAAATTCTGTTAATTCAAATAATCTCAGATTGAAATATCAAAAGTTTACATCATCAGCTTGTAACTTAAATGATTCAGAGATGAAATTATAAATCGTCCATAATCTTAGGAGTCAAAGCAACATTTATCTGATATCCATAACAATAAAAACCATATACCCCAAATCATGTTGTATGCATGTTTTATACAATCAAGAACTGATAATTTAACTCGTTTGATTTAATTGGAAACCCAGCTTTGCCTGTAAATTGAATTTTCCCTGAAGATAAAGAATAACCTACAATTTCTTCATAAAACTTAAAATATATCCATGGTTATACCAAGGGTTCTCAAATCAAAATTTAGGGCAAATCGGTTTAAGGGTTCACGAGTTATGATCGGACATACAAACAAACAGAGATACTTTTTATATATACTGTATATATACAAGGCGAGTCAAAAAAAATTGTAATTAGCGGCGCCTGGTGCAAAATTGTACCTTTTTTGTGCAACTCTCCTGTATTGTGTTTTTTTTAGTATTTGAATTTTTTTTTTGGTACTTTGGCCCCAAAAACTCCACGAAACTTTTTCTCTCTCAAAATCAAAAGTTCAGGCAAGCAAAACTGTGTATATATATTATTTCTATCAAATTCTAAAATTTTTAAAAGATTAAATCACAGAAAATTTGCAAAATTGTAATAAGAAAATTCATGATTTTCAATTTTGGTCTGATTTTTAAGGAAAAACTCTTTAAATCCTATAGTTTTATTCTTCTAAGTATGTTCTTAAAGTTATGAATATACAATGTTCAGTTGAAACCTGAAGAGCCATTAAAAAACAACTTTTCCTTAAAAATTAACCAGAACTAAAAATTGCGAATTTTGTTATTACAATTTTGCAAATTTTCTTTGATTCTGCGATTCAATATTTATAAAACTTTAGAATTTGATAGAAATAATGTATATACACATTTTGCTTTTCTGAACTTTAGATTTTAAGAGAAAAACAAGTTTGGCGGACTTTTTTCGGGCCATGATTACCAAAAACTGACTTAGTGTCTCCTTTTTTTAGAAATAAAGACGGTAGATATGGCGTCCCTTAATTCCCATATTTATTGTGACACCACATCAAAAACAGCAAGTTTCGAAAAAAGCATTGCCGACAGAAATAATAATAAAATAACAATGTAATAACTAAACTAGCTGAAATCGTTGCCCTCGTATTATTCATTTAGTATTTAATAAAATGGTCTGTAAGCGTAATTGAAAGTAAACCGCCACACAAAGATGGCACTGCCTGATTTACAACGGTACCCTTAAAACCTTAATCTGATTGTCATGATTTCCCATTACTTCTAAAAACTTCACTTTTGCAGAGAAACCTCAAATAAAAATAAACAAACACATTCATAAGTAAATCGGGCATTGTCATCTTTGCATTAAGGGTTATTTAAAATTAAGCTTACAATCCATTAGATTCGGCATGGTCGCCACATATTAATAAATTAATAAACCTTACAATAAAATATTCAGAATTATCAACAACGATATATTTGAAAAGATGAGGTATAAACTTGTGAAATATGACACAATAGGTAACAAAGTAAGTTTATAGAACCAAGACAATCATTAAAGAGAACGAAATAAAAGCAAAATGGAAGATCTTCAACATCTATTTTTTGATCCACTGTATTTTGACAAAATGTTCAATTTTTTAATTTTTTTAGTTGAGATCCATTTGATAACCAAATCTAATTGTAACAAACTAGATTTAAACAAAAATCTAGCTAATTATAAAAAAGTACTAATTAATGTTACTTGTTATCATAAGAAAAAATTAAGTGCGATCCACAAATGAATTCACATAAGTATATATAAATATCATTGGAATTGATTGACAGCAAACAGTTTTGTTCATGTCAAAGAATCCAATAATATTTTTTTTATCTGATGAATCATAAAATACAATTTACAGAAAACACGGGAACATCACACAATACGCGCTTTACTTACATTCTTAATCATGGTTTTTTTTAATGGAAAATTGAATCTGCAGCCTTTTTATTTGTTGGGATTCTGAAAAAGTTTATGAAACTGTTTTAAAAGTGAAAAGGATTACAGGCCCGCCAAAGGGTCCTCTTCTTTTTCACTTTTGATATCCAACATTGGTAATTCGTCTTTACAGTGCATCTTGTGCTTTATCAACTGCTCTTTGGTAGTCGGGGAATAGTCACAGTTCTCGCATGGATATACTACTATTCTATATTTCATTGGGTAAATTCCGTGCACACTCTTTCTGTGGTTGGTTAGAAACAGTGGGGAGGGAGCAGAATATTCACACTTATCACAGAGATGTTGCACTGACATGGTTTTATTTTCAACCTCAGATGAGGTATTTTTATTCAAATGCGATGTTTTCTTGTGTTCTGTCAACTGAGCTGAAGTTTCATATGAATTTCTACACAAGTTACAGGAAAAAGGTTTAAGTGAGATTTCTCTTGGATGACTTTTCGAAAGATGCTTCCTCAATAACGATGGTCGAGATGCAGAAAAAGAGCATTGATCACATTTATATCTCACTCCTTCATGTATACTCTCTTTGTGTCTTTTCAAATCGTTACTTCGTGTCGCCGAAAAATTACATCTGTCACACGGAAATTTGTTGGGTTGACCATTTTTTACGGCCATATCTTCTGAAATTTCACTCGCTGGTTTAAAATGGCTGACATCTGGATAATTTTCGAAAAGATTAGAGTCCTCTTCTAAACTGACATCTTTCAAACTTCCGAAAGTGTTTGTAACCTTGTCATATGTTACTTCTATTATACTTCCAAACTCCTGCAGAAGTTCAGTTTCTTTCTCAGGTTCATCACGATCTAACCCAAAATCTAAAATGTACAAATAATAAAAGGTTAGGTTTCTAGTGCGCCACACCCCCTTCTTTCTGGGGTATTTAATTTTAAAAAATAGATACCTGTAAAATCTGGTAAAGGTATTGGGTGTAAGTTGGGTTCCACACCACGAAGCAATCCTCTTTTATTATATTGATCTGATCTAAAGTGAACCATACAAATTTTTGAATTTGGTTTCGGAGTCCATCTCATTCCACGATCCAGTACAAGCCGCCATTGTTTTGATAAGCGGGAAGGGACTTTGAAGAAAGAAATTGGTAAATTGTTGTTGTTTCGACATGATTTCACAGAACAAGATATCGACATTTTGACATTGATGATTGATAACTAAATCAAAATCAAATTTCGATGGAGAATACAAGTTCACAACATTAGAAGTTATTTGGTTTGGTTTTGAAAATTTTATTTAGAAGTCGTCTTTGTTTGAATTTTATTTCGAATTACAATATCGACCCCTTTTGACCTTCTATGCTTACTTTTATTATTTTTTAAAATATTTATTTGATATTTGCTTTTATAAATTATAAAATAATGCTTTTAGTTACGAGCGCAAAAGAATACAAAAAATTGTTTTTTCGAATTGCGTCCTCTAGGGGCTGAATGCCGAGACAAAGGTTTAAACTCTTCTCCATAGAGAGCGTTACTGGTCAGCCATATTTATTTTATCCGCTAGGGTGAGTGTTTAACTTTAAGTTTCAAAAATCACCCGGGAGGGGGCGAATTTATCACCTTGTCACATTAGGATTATTATAATATTATTGACAGATAATTTTGATTTAAGTTAAATCCTGGCCAATTAGCATTCTAATGGCATATAGAAGATTAAACGACATGATAAATGTGTATTTATTTATTATGACTATGTTATTAAGTAGATAGATTTAGAAAAATGATAAACTAACAATTTTTGCCATATATTCACATTTTTTGTGATTAAACTTTCTGTGTTAAATCATTAATAATGTAAATTATATTTAAAATGAAAATCTCAATTATTATTTATTTCAATTTTTTCGAGTAAGGTAAGAAAAGTTCTGAGCCGATCGCTGCGGCTAGGACAGATTAGAGAGCCGAGCGCTGCGGCTACTCCTAGGACAGGCTAGATGGCCCAATATGTTCATGTGTTCCATATGTGAGATCCATGTACAAAATTCTTCTTACCAACTTTATTCAATACAAAAATAAATCAACAATAGGATATCTAATTAGCAGAAACATAGAGAAAAAAATTCTCTCATTTAATCTTCGTACCTATTGCCGTAATGTACAAAATTGATAGGAGGGGGGGGGGGACAAAAAATCGTTCTCTTGAAGGTGCCAGTAATTAATTGTATAAAGAAATAAACGATAATCAATCATTCAATCAAACAAATCTTTCTCTAGGAAATTACCCGAAATAAATTACTAAGTAATTTCATATAGAACGAGTTTTGGATTAACCGTGTTGAATTATTGGCGAAGACACACTTTTTATGCCGAGCTACGCCAGCGCCTAGGACCCCTCAAGCCTATTCTAGCCTCAGCGCTCGGCCCGCCCAGTGGCCAGTAACCTCTGTTCTACTCGCGGCGCTCGGCCTACATATTGTCCAACTATTTCCATAAAAGATGCATTTACAAATTCTGTAGGTGGGGGGGGGGGGGCGGGTATTTACTCCTGTAATTTTGCGTTTATAAAATTAAATATGATTCATGGTTAAAGTATTAAAGCCCCTGAAACAAAAAACAACAAACTAGGAAACATTTACTTAATTTTCGAAAATATATTTTTCTTATTTTCAGAGTCAACTATTACCTTAAAAATGGGAGATCCGGAACCTGAGTCTATTGGAGACATTCAGAATTATTTAGAGCACTTCAACCCGAAGGAGGTAGGCGGGGTGGTCATCTCCAAGACGGAGGTCATGGACGCCACAAGTTCGGTCAACCTGGGGTCAGTAGATGCTACCGGGACGGGTCAATACTTTGTGGATCAGACCACAGGTAAAAGTTTAAGCACTTTCATTATGTATGTTCTTAAATATTTTTATTTTTGTCAAATTGTCACGATCTTATAGCTATAGGCCAATATCCTTGTATTTACACAAATGAAAAGGATCCAAAAGTAAGAAAATAAGGATTTTTTGTGTATTTTTTATCATTTTAAGAAAATATATATTTCTTAAAAAGCAAAAAAAAAATAAGGAATAAAAAAGAGTGAAACCTGTTAGTTGATTCCCATAAAGGGTCTGTCCTATGAAATGATTTTTGGACCCCCTCCTATCAATTTTGTACATGATCTAGATTTCAACTATTTTTAGTAAAAAAATATTTATTTTGTATTATTTCATTTCAGGGTAAGGTTAGGTTAGGAGCATTTCTGGGCCGGGCGCTGCGGCCAGGACAGGTCTAAATCTCAACAATTTTCAACAAAATTAGAATATATTTAGGGTTAGGTTAGGTTAAGAGCGTCGCGGCTAGGACATGCTAGGGGGCCGGGGCGCTGCGGCCACATGACCAACTTAATCCTTGTGCGTGCTAAATATGAGATGCATGTCCAAAATTATAGGAGGAGGGGGGTCAAAAAATCTTTCTCTAGAAAATTACCCCCATAATTATCTAAAATCTTTAAAATATGTCACTCTGGATTGTGTTTAGGCCAGTATTATTACCAATCGGCGGCCGACGAACCCTTTACTATGGTCCAAACTGATGAAGCCATGGAAGACTCTCCTCCGACAATTGACAGGAAATAGAATTAAATCAATTATGAGAAAAATTTTTTTTTATAATTTCGAGCTCAAAAAATAATATTCAACGATTTAAAGAAAATAAATAAAGATTTCAACAGTTAGTACTCAATTATTTCTAAACAAGAATCGTTGTTTTGATAATTTTATTTTATTTATTTTAAATGATATATTTATGTGATTTACGATTTTTAATTTGTTAGTGGATTTATTTAGAAAGTTATTAATCGATTATAAACTTGATTTTTGATTTATTAGTGGATTGATTAAGAAAGACATTACTCGAGTATGAACTTGATATTTGATTGATTAGTGGATTGATTAAGAAAGTCATAAATCGATTGTGAACTTGATATTTGATTGATTAGTGGATTTATTAAGAAAGTCATAAATCGATTATGGATTTAATATTTGATTGATTGATTTAAAATTGTAGAGCTGAAGCTGCATCTCCGCCCTCTATTGTCCAAGAAGGATTAACCTCCAACCAGGTACATGGCGCAGCTTGAACTTGTTCTCTCCATATTTGTTGAATTGAATTCAGTCACTGTATTGATAAATAAGCTGACCACTCTAGAAAATTTAGAACTTTATATTTATCCAAAGTATGTAATTTTGAAATCTTTTTATATAAATTTTTGTTGACATTTTCCAAATCTTAAATAAAATTTCAAATAAAGATTCCGATTCATAATTCATTTAATGATATGAAATATATTCTTTTTCTCCTAAAGAGACAAGATTTTCTGTTTTCAGCGAATGTATCATATTTTGCAATTAAACATTTCTCTTCAATGTTAACTTATTCAATAGAGTCTCGAAATTCTAAACTCCTGAAATACTCAATTGCATCTGCGGCCCCGCCATGACTTATTTTAAAGCATATAAACTATAAATATATATTTTTAAAGCAAATAAGCTATAAATATATATTTTTAAAGCATATAAACTATAAATATATATTTTAAAGCATATAAACTATAAATATATATTTTTAAAGCATATAAGCTATAAATATATATTTTTAAAGCATATAAACTATAAATATATATTTTAAAGCATATAAACTATAAATATATATTTTTAAAGGTTGTTTTAAACGACGGAGATAATCAGTTTCAAACAGTCACCATCGTTCCAAACAATTCTTCAAGGTTTTTTTTATTTAATTAACAATCTACTAAATGTATTTATTATTTTTAAATGTTGGTGATGATGTTGGATGTTGATTCTGATATGATATTGATGTAAGTGTTGATGTTGATGTTGATGTTGATGTTGATGTTGACGTTGACGTTGACGTTGACGTTGACGTTGACGTTGACGTTGACGTTGACGTTGACGTTGACGTTGTGTGTTTAGTGGTGAGGTTAGCTATGTCTTGATAGTGCAACCGAACCAGAAGAAAGAGGACGGGGAGGCCGAGGCTGTTTATGATTTTGATACAGAGGATCCAGGTTTCTATGACAATAATTTACAGTTATAAAATAATGTACTATTGAGATCAGGTCTTCATGTGTTTTGGTTCGCATAACATTTAAATTCCCTGTACACGTAATTTAAAATAACAAGGGCAATGCTCGACTCACAACAGAACCATTAAAAGCTTTTTCTGAAATATATATTTATGTTAATCAGTTTAAAAACTTTTGTTTTAATCGTCGTGGGTTCTCTTCAAAGTGACTTGCGCATTTCTACTGCAAGAAAACATCAATTTAAAACCTAAAAAAAATTACGATAACTTTGACATTATTGTTTGAATATGGAGGGTCACTTGAAATTACGCTAAAAGTCTCTTTAATTTACAATGTTTATTTAGCTGAGCTTGAGGAAGATCTAAGCCTGGAGGCAAAGGAAAGGAAACCAGCCTTCAGAAGACCACCTCCTGTTCAAGGTTTTATGCAATTATTTTTTAAATTCTGGGGAAAACTTTGATCTCTAAGTAATATAGAAATTTTAAATCTTAAACCAACTAAAAATTGGCTAACTACTACTCTCTAAATGGGGTTTGATTTTAAAAAAAGACAGTTAATGACGGTTCAGCTTAAAAAAGCAAGAAAAAATATTTTATATGAGCAAATTGATAAATAGTGTTGATCAATAACGTGAGGTCTTTTAAAAAATGTGGCCCCGATCGGTTTGACGTTTATTGGATACAAACGGACAGACACAGACAAGCAAAGTATATATATTTTGGTTTCTGTTCTCTGCCATAAATATATGCTTTGTTTCAAATGTTGTGCTCCATACTAAAATCTACAATGATATCTATAATTCAAGACATACATTTTCTCTTTTGAGTTTAACATTTATAACTCCACCCGCATATATTTATAGCAGAGAACATAAAACCAATCATATACTTATGTTGACAGGGTGTCCCAAAAAACATGGGAATTCAGTGACGAATTCGATATAGTCTTTGTTATGAATAAGCATTGTAAAACCTAATTTCAAAAGCCATAACATTATTATGTCTGCTTATTTTATGAAAAGGGTAAAAGATTCTAAAGATGTGCCTATAATGTCTCCGCAAGATGAACAGTGAAGACGGACAAGTTTACTCTATGGTATACTGCAATTTTCTTGTTTTACTAAGTATACCCGCATCCAGTCAAAACATAAACAAACAAAATGTGAACATTGTAGACAAAACTCTTACTGATTACAACTTTCTCAGTAGGTATCACTATACTAAATCAAAGAATTATTTAAAAAGACGATATCGAATTCGTCACTGAATTCCCATGTTTATTAGGACACCCCGTATATTAAAGATACATTCATTGTGCATAAACATAATTTTACTCAGCTCTCAAATACTGAAAACATTTTCAGGAATGCTTTCATTGGACTGATAAATACATATTGATTCATTAATACATCTCTCTGACAACTTTCTGACATTCAAATTCAATTTAAAACGCAGTTTTACGTTTTCCATGAAAAATATTTATATTTTCTGATTTTAGCTTTGTCGTGCTCGTACTGTAACTACACTACTTCAAAACGATATTTGTTAAGGTAAATAAAAGTTCAAAGTGTTGCATTAGAATTAAGGTTTAGAATTTCTACCAGGATATCCAGTATCCACCCAGCCCCCCCCCCCTCTTTCGAAAATATTTTTTCCTCAGAAGTCGCTTTCAGGAAGCGCAACATTATTTTGAGGCTTTTTTTCGCAGAAATGAGAAAAATGGATTTTTACGGGAAAATTACTAAACTTTGGGTAAAAAGTATCATTAAGAATAAATAAAGTAGTCTTTTGATGTCCAATTGTTTCCCTAAAATCAATTTGAGAAATATACACCCCTATTTTTATCTTTGTCCAAATTGATTTTGTTAAAAACAGCTTTAGTTGGCTATGATTATTAAATATCTGCAAAATGGAGATTGAAGTGTTAAAGTAAAATATTGAAAAAATCTAACGTAGAAAAAAAAGATAATTCATTTTTATTAAAATTTTAAATGAAATAAACATTTATTTTCTAAATAACTATATAAAGAAAAAAATTGACACGACTAAAATATTAAAACAAGTTTTTTTTAACTTGAAGATTGGTATTTTAGATTTTTGTTATAAATTCTATTTTTTTTGTAAAAAAATTTGTAAATAAACATTTTTATCATAAGACAAGTAGTCATTTTTTATAGAAGTGGAAGTAAGTCAGTAGGATTCTAAAAACCAATCCATATCAGGCCTTCGGACAAAAAAATATCAAAATAGAATATTAAAGGAATTGTATATGAGTATTTAGTGTCCCTCCATGCAAAGATGAGGATGCCTGATTAACAACGGTACCCTTGAAAGCTTTGTGATGTAGCCTGAATTATATATTAATGTTTATATAATTTGAAAACTTATAGTTTTTAATTATGTTTTGTTTTCAAAAGTGCCTTTTGCATTTGTACTGTTAAAAAACATTGAGGAGTTGCAAAACACTTATGAACCTAGATAAACAACAATATCTTCCACATCGGAATCGGGCATTGCTATCCTTGCATGGAGAGTCAGTTGAAATTAATTTCGCTAAATTTGTTTTTTTAAGTCGGCACCTAAAGTGTCACAGTGACGAGAGGCCACACAAGTGTTCAGTTTGTGAACGAGGATTTAAAACTCTCGCCTCTCTTCAGAACCATGTTAACACCCATACAGGAACTAAACCTCACAGGTCATTCTACTTCGGTTTTGTTGTTGTTAAAACCTTTATTCTTTTATTTTGCTTTAAATATAGGGCGAATATTGAGATTAAACATAAATATTTTTGAATTATATTTAAACACTGTATATTTCTAAATAAACTTAATATAAAAACATCTGAAGTGTAAACTTCTGAAAAGTAAAACAAACCTTCCGGATATCTGATCGAAAAAGCAAATTTCAGCATAAAAATTTTAAACAAAAAATTCAGGAATCTGTATTAAAACGGATTTGATTCCATAAAATTAAATTCTATGTGTATTAAAATTTTAACCATATTTTTGTAGATGTAAGTTTTGTCAAGCAACATTCACCACTAGTGGAGAACTAGTCCGCCATGTTCGATATAAGCATACACACGAAAAACCTCACAGGGTAAAATTATTTTACTATGATGAACTAGTGCCTCCTGGATCCGGACAGGAAAAAATAAGTGCATTTACGGATCCGGATCCAAGTGGCAAACTATCATCCAAAAAACCCCAAAAATTGCTCTGAAACCCCAATTATCAAAACGTGCCCAAATTGTAAATGGTTTGTCAAGATTTAGCTTAAAAATAAGCGAACAAAAAAGAAAAGAAATAATGTCAAAAGTCTCTTTGTTCAAAAACTCAGTTTTTAAAGAAATGTTTATGATCCCGGTCAATTTTTTTGTGGATCATGAATCCTAATCCTCATTATAATTAAATGGATGCGAAGCACTGACTAAAACAGATGTCTAGTGTCATTCTATTTTAACCTGTTAGAAAATACACATAATACCTCGGCATTAGAAACGCAACCAATCATCATGTCAATTTTAACCCCCAAAACACGCACATAATACTCAAAAAACCTGGTGTTCTCTGCAAGATTTTTTTATTAGCCTTATAAATTTTTTAAAATGATTCCTTAATTTTTATTTCCTGGTTAGTGCCTTCAATCTCAATTTATAGATAAAAACGATCTAATATGATATAGAGTGTAGAATATTTGAACCTTTTTATCTTTTCAGTGTACGGAATGTGAATATGAATGTGTTGAGTATAGTAAACTGAAGAGACACATGAGATGTCACACGGGTGAACGTCCCTATCAATGTCCCAACTGCACCTATGCAAGTCCTGACACATTTAAACTTAAGAGACATCTAAGGATACATACAGGTGAACTATTTCAACATTTGTATAATTGTTTCTTCAAAAATTAATCGCAGATATTCATTGAATATTGTTAAGCTGAACAGATTTTTAGTGTTAATTGATCCTTTTGGCAGTAATTGATACATGATTTTATGTATTTCTTTTTCTATAAACACTTGACATTTTGTTCTTGACTTTGTAGATAAATTAATGAATGTTTTCATTGATTTATTGTTTCATGGGTTCATTAATTACTGAATATTGATTTAGGATTATAGATTAATTGATTGATTGATTGAATGATTGATTGATTGATTGAATAATTAGGTGAGAAACCGTATGAATGTGATATCTGCCATGCCAAGTTTACTCAAAGTAACAGCTTAAAAGCCCACAAAGCCATTCACACAGGTATAATTAGATTATTATCACTAACTATTTAACTATTTAAGAAATAAATAACTTTTAAACTTAACAAATATCCCCTCATAATAAAAAATAAACTATTCCATAACAAAACATTCTTAAATGTGGGGGATATTATGTTGGTTGATTTGATATGTATTATGTTGGTTGATTTGATGTGTATTATGTTGTTTGATTTGATATGTATTATGTTGGTTGATTTGATATGTATTAGGTTGATTGGTGAGCGATTGATCGGTTGGTTGCTTGTTTGACTGTGTTGATTCTGGATTTAATTAATCGATTGAACGATATCAAATCAATCAAATATACATTTGTTCATTCTTTTATTCGAGTCTTTCAATACATTTATTTCATATATCAACAATATAGATTTAGTGGCGAGGTTTGATCGATTTATGTACATTTAAGTAATGCCATAAAAATTGTATGGATTAATGATGCATCGATACAGAATAGTAGGAATGAAAATAAACTGAAGAAAAATATAGAAGAAAATAATAATAATCATTTTAAGGGTAAATGTACATAAACTGCTAAAAATGTAATAAGTAATGAAAAATGATAATTGAAGTTGTAATTCATTAATGTAGATTTAAGTTTGCAGAAATGATACTGGCTTGATTGATGCTGATTGAAGTGAATGCGGAAGTAATGATTATTTGATCGATTGGTTCATTGATTGATCCATTGGTTGTTGGTTGGTTTAATTTTGATTGATCGATTGATGCTGATTGATGCTGATTAAAGTGATTGAAGTAGTGATGATTATTTGATCGAATGTTTGATTGGATTATTGATTGATTGATTAGTTAATTGATTGATGATTAATTGATTGAATGACTGATTGATCGATCGTCTGTTTGATTGATCGGTTGTCTGGTTGGTTGGTTGATTGATTGATTCTTATTGAAGTGATGATTGTTTGATCGATTGTTTCTTTGGTTTATTGATTGATTAATTGATTGTTTGGTTGGTTGGTTGATCGATTGTTTGTTTGTTTGTTTGATTGATTGATTGATTGATTGATTGATTGATTGATTGGTGCTGAATGAAGTGATTGTAGAAATTAGGATTATTTCATCGATTGTTTCATTAGTTTACTGATTGATTGAATGACCGATTGTTTGATTGATTTAGGTTGAAGTGATGGCGAATGATAACGGAAGTGATGAGGAAGATGAAGAAGAAGAAGGGGAGGAGGAGGATGAATCAGGTCTGTATATATATTTTATGAAAGGCGTTCTCCTATTTGGTTAATGTCAGGATAAACCAGAGGATAAACTGATGATATATTAGTATATATTAGTATATTAGTATATTAGTATATTAGTATATTAGTATATTAGTATATATTAGTATATATTAGGACTTATTTGGTGGGGGGGGGGGTGATTTCTACAAAATATTTACCCATGCAGTATTTTAAGTAGCTTTGTATTTTAGGTGAGAAGCCAGTATACCAGTGTGAACTATGTCCTACAACCTGTGGACGGAAAACTGATCTACGGCTTCATGTTCAAAAACTGCACACCAGCGAGAAACCTATGCAGTGCAAAAATTGTGATAAGTCTTTTCCTGACAGGTAAAGTCTTGTGTTCTTTAAGGGACTGGACCGTTGTAAAATTTAAGAGAGGCATAACCAATTTAAAACGGTTCAGTTCAAATCAATAATGTGAAAGATGTTGCCGTATTTTGATCTGATAATTAATCAATTCTCACATTTTTTTCCATTGTTTTGGTTGCAGAACCATTTATTCTTGCTCCTTCAAAGCTTTAAGGGTACCGTTGCGAATCGGACATGGCATTACATATGTCAGGTCATTTGAGATTACGTCTAAGCAAGTGGGAGGGGGTTTGCTGCATTTTTTCAAAAGTTAAACTACAGCATGCAGAATGCAGATAAGTTCTAAGTTCAACTGCAAAAAACTGAATAACCTCTTCTCAGACTTCTCATTTTAGATATTTGTTTATAACTAACTTACTACTTATTTACTTAAATGACTTAAAACAATATAAAGATAATAAAGACAACTAATGACAATCCTATGATTTTCCCTGTGCTTAATGTATTTACGTATAACTTGTCCAGGTACACCTTGAAGGTGCACAAGAAATCCCACGAGGGAGAAAAATGCTTTAAATGTGATCTTTGTCCTTACTCATCGATTTCGCAGGTAATAAGTAATTAAAATTGCTTTGTCAATAATTTGAACTTTGTCCACGAAAATAGTTAAATAAATGTGCATTTTGGGCAAAAAAATTATGAAACAGATTTAAAAGCTGGCTAGTAGATGTTACCAAAAACTTGAAAAAGGATTTTCACTTTGCATTTAATAAAAATATTGATAATATACAGCGCCATCTTGCATCTTAACTTATTTAAGTGCCATTTTGAATTTTGGCTCAGTTTTAGCGCCATCTTCATTCTTGAACCGTAAATCTTATTTTTAGCGCCCCCTTGAATTTTGTCTTATTTTTAGCGCAATTTTGAACCATATTTTATTCAAGCGCAATCTTGAATCTTATCTCATTTCAGCGCCATCGTGAACTTTATTATATGTATACTAGCACAATCTAATATTTTATCTTATTTTTTGTGCCTTGAATCTTATTTAATTTACAACGCCTTCTCGAATTTACAACATGTTTTTCGATCTCAAAAAATTTCCATTTTTATTTTAATCATAATTCATATTTTATTTTTAGCGCCATCTTGAATCGCATATGTTGATTCACACAGACCAGAAACCATATCGTTGTGATCAATGTGATCAGAGTTTTAGACAAAAACAGCTTCTGAAGAGACACCAGAACCTCTACCATAATCCAGCATACATACCACCACTACCAAGGGTAAGAATCCCGTTTTTTTAATTAAATAAATAGAAATATCCCTGCTTAACCAAAGTCAACCGGCAAAATTGTAAACCAATTGCTTATCTGATTATCCGGTCAATATCATTAGTTATTACTAGCTGAAGGGCCCTGCGTTACCCGTGGGCGGTACTTAGGATCCGGATCCGGATCCAAGGGGTAAAATATCAACCAAAAACTGCAAAAAAAACTGTTTTACTCCTAAACCCCAATTCTGAAATTTTGAAAAAAGAGAGATTATAAAAATTTCCTCATTTCCGAATGGTTTATCAAGTTTTAGGATAAAAACAAGCGAAAAAAATGAAACGAAAAATTAGAAAATTATTGTTATTTGAAAATTCAGTAAATCTTAAAGAAATGACCTGGATCCGGATCCGGATCCATTTTTTTTCCAGTGCGGATCCAAGATTCGGATCCGCATCAAAATTAAATGCACTGCCCATGGGAAAAAAAATCAGTCTATTTGGTCCAGTCGTTTGGTCAGCCAGAAGGAACATATATATGATGAATGTCTTGTTTTATTATGTAGATATAATTTTTTTCTCTATATTTTCTATTCGTATCTTACAAGGCTAAGCTTTGATTTTAACTTTTAATTGTTGCTCTATTTGTTGCGTTTTTTCTTCTAAAATTATTAAACAGTAACAAAAGAAAATTTATTTGTTACCTATGGGTTCCCTTTCAAAATTTCAGCCAATTTTTTCCAGCTGTTTGGCCAGCTCGGCCAGCTAAAGCTTGAATATATATATATATAGAGATATGGCCGAAGACAGACAGGCAAGCGAAGTATATGTACATAGTAGCCGATAAAAATTATTAAAAATCACTGAAATACTTTTTTCAATGTTTAGGAAAAAACACATGAATGTATTGAATGCAACAGAGTTTTCAGGCATAAAGGTAAACCTTGAAAATTATATTAGTATATTAGTATATATTAGTATATATTAGTATATATTAGTATATATTAGTATATTAGTATATTAGTATATTAGTATATATTAGTATATATTAGTATATATTATTATATATTAATATATATTAATATATATTAGTATATTTAGTATATATTAGTATATTAGTACATATTAGTATATATTAGTATATTAGTAAATTAGTAAATTAGTATATTAGTATATTAGTATATTAGTATATTAGTGTACAAGACAGACAAGCCAAATTTATATACAGATTAGTATTAGTATATTAGTATATAAGTATATTAGTATATTAGTATATTCAGTAAAAAAAGTTGCAAAGTAAATTTTAAATAACAAACGCTAAACTTTTAACTTTTAATGTGTTAGATGCCTAACACTTGAATTTTATTACCATTTAATGTTTGTAAATACAGGAAACTTAATGCGGCATATGGCGCTTCATGACCCTGAAAGTTCTGTACAAGAGAAAGCATTGGCGTTGAAGTTTGGTCGACAGAAGAAATATCAGATGATAGACGGACAACAGGTCAAAAAAAATCATTCATATATGTTTGTTTTGTTGAGTACTTGAATGTGGATTCGATGTTTATTATGTTGGTTGATTTTATGTGTATTATGTTGGTTGATTTGATGTGTATTATGTTGATTGATTTTATGTGTATTATGTTGGCTGATTTTGTTGGTTGATTTGATATGTATTATGTTGGTTGATTTGATGTGTATTATGTTGTTTGATTTGATATGTATTATGTTGGTTGATTTGATATGTATTAGGTTGATTGGTGAGCGATTGATCGGTTGGTTGCTTGTTTGACTGTGTTGATTCTGGATTTAATTAATCGATTGAACGATATCAAATCAATCAAATATACATTTGTTCATTCTTTTATTCGAGTCTTTCAATACATTTATTTCATATATCAACAATATAGATTTAGTGGCGAGGTTTGATCGATTTATGTACATTTAAGTAATGCCATAAAAATTGTATGGATTAATGATGCATCGATACAGAATAGTAGGAATGAAAATAAACTGAAGAAAAATATAGAAGAAAATAATAATAATCATTTTAAGGGTAAATGTACATAAACTGCTAAAAATGTAATAAGTAATGAAAAATGATAATTGAAGTTGTAATTCATTAATGTAGATTTAAGTTTGCAGAAATGATACTGGCTTGATTGATGCTGATTGAAGTGAATGCGGAAGTAATGATTATTTGATCGATTGGTTCATTGATTGATCCATTGGTTGTTGGTTGGTTTAATTTTGATTGATCGATTGATGCTGATTGATGCTGATTAAAGTGATTGAAGTAGTGATGATTATTTGATCGAATGTTTGATTGGATTATTGATTGATTGATTAGTTAATTGATTGATGATTAATTGATTGAATGACTGATTGATCGATCGTCTGTTTGATTGATCGGTTGTCTGGTTGGTTGGTTGATTGATTGATTCTTATTGAAGTGATGATTGTTTGATCGATTGTTTCTTTGGTTTATTGATTGATTAATTGATTGTTTGGTTGGTTGGTTGATCGATTGTTTGTTTGTTTGTTTGATTGATTGATTGATTGATTGATTGATTGATTGATTGGTGCTGAATGAAGTGATTGTAGAAATTAGGATTATTTCATCGATTGTTTCATTAGTTTACTGATTGATTGAATGACCGATTGTTTGATTGATTTAGGTTGAAGTGATGGCGAATGATAACGGAAGTGATGAGGAAGATGAAGAAGAAGAAGGGGAGGAGGAGGATGAATCAGGTCTGTATATATATTTTATGAAAGGCGTTCTCCTATTTGGTTAATGTCAGGATAAACCAGAGGATAAACTGATGTAGACAGGAGACAGTTCTTCCAGACTGCAGGAGAAGAATCAGTCAGGGTTACCAGGCAATCTTCTGATGCATTAAATATACTAACAACCAGATGCAGGACTGAGGTTAGAAGAAATTTCTTCACCAACAGAGTAGCGAAGAAATGGGACAAATTACCAGAATATATCAAAAGAGCAGGAAATATAAAAACTTTCAAGTCCTTATATGATAAAATACCGGAACAGCAGGAATGAGAAACCTATGAGTAAAATGCTGGATACAGAAAGACGTCATCTCTATGCTCCTATCTGGAACTCTGATGACAAATCTACAAAAAAACAAAAAAAAAAATAGCCGAGTTAGCAATTCATTGTTATTAGTCTTTCTCTGGCGGGAGATAAAGCCGATTTATTGTTCAGAATTCCGGCATAAACATACAATCCCTCTCCTTCTCTCATACAAAATATCACGATGGTCATTAATGAAAATATAAAGTATACTTTTTTTCATCATCATCAATTTCAGGGATTTTCAAATATTGGGTAACTTACAACTGGGTAATAAAATATGTGTTGAAAATAGAATCTGATGTAAATAAAGTTATTGAGAGAGACGATCAAGTGATTCAGGGGGAAATATTTCTTGTTTAAAGATTTCCAACTTCCAACATAATAATTCATTATGTTTTGGGGTTTTTGTATTTGGGAAAATGCATGATTTGAATTAACAATAAATGAAACATAAGATATCTCTAGAGGGACAAAACTTGATATTGTTTTCATTATTCGTCATTAATCAGTCATTTTAATAGTGTTGATTTAGGAATGACGGTCGAAGGACCAGACGGTCAGTACTATGTTGTCCTTGACGTAACCCAGCTGGAGGTCCAGGCCCAGGATGATGTCCGGAGTGTCCAGGTGGTCCAGGACAACCAGGTTCAACAGGTTCTTATCCAGGAAACACAGATACTTAGTGATAGCGGAGACGGGGTAAGTCATTTCTTACTTTCTAGATATAAACAAAAAAATGTAAATCAAAAATAGATTCAAATATTGCTAATTAAACTGGCAAAGTTACCCGGAAATAGTTTTTAGGGGTCATTTTAGCCCTGATTTTAGTTTTTAGTCACTTTGATGGATTATAAAATTAAATGAAAAGCTAGATTTTTTTATTAATTCATTTGTTCATAAAATCTAGTTTTTTATTAATTCATTTGATGGATAGATAGATAGATAATCATTTATATCTATATACCTTATTACTGGTATCTTAAATCATAATTAATTTGTTCATATGTTCGCTCATTTACTCATTTATTTATTTATTAATTTGTTTACTCATTTATTTGAATATTTAGTATCTAATTATTTTTAGAATAAACGAATAGTTCTTTCGCCGATTCTTGAAGATACTCTCGAGGAATCCTTGATGCCACAGGTTCAACAAACATTATTTTTTTTATTCATCCTTTCATGCATTCATCCTTTCTTTCATCCATACTTGATTCCTTTTATCCATACTTTCTTTTATCTTTCCTTCGTTCTTTCTTTCATCCGTCCTTTCATCCTTTCTTTTATCCTTCCTTTAAACATCCTTTTATCCTTTCTTCCGCTTATCCTTAACTTAACTCATTCTTCTGTTCATTCTTTTATTCTCTCACTTATTGGTTAATTGGTTTCTTCGTTCATTATATATCTATACAATCCTATTATAATAATATATAATATAATCCTATTAATTGCTTTACAATTGTACAATGATTGGTATGATATCTTTGATAAGGATACTCGATCTAGTTATATTGCTCCATTGCTTCTTTGATAAATTGGCCCTATGAACCATTAAACCATTGGGCCAAGGAAGATACAGCAGGATACCATACACTCAAAGTATACTTAGATCTGAGAGAAATATGATCCCAGTCTGAGCAGCCTGCAGCACTGATTTTGTTTTAAAACAATCCTTTAAAGAGACTGTAAGGGTAATTTCAAGTGACAGACCCTCCAGTGATATCCTTGAAAGCGTTGTCTGACCATGTATGAATTTTTGCTACTTGTTTTGTTTTTGATTCTTTAAACAGATTTGTTTTCATTCGCGATTTCTCAGCTTAGGTGACTAGCTCATTTCATGTTTATAAGAAGCAATGGAGAAACGCACAGAAATAAAACACTTTTCGAGTCAGAAGAACAAGGGTGTCCTCCACATTTTTGATCATATCAGGATTTCATGGGTATCGTTGTAAATGGGACATTGCCATCTTTGCATAAATGGTCCCTTGAAATTACGCTTGCAGTCTCTTTAAGTAACAAGAGTGTAAATTGGATCCATGATCCATTAGTTACCAGTTCTATTGATCCCATTGATCCATTGTTTAATGTGAAAATCTCTTGACATTGTATGAATTATTCTAGGATGAAATAAGAATAAAGAAGCAAGAACGAGAATCCTGTTTCGGCTTCGATGAGGTAAAATGTTTTTTATGCTCAACCACAATTTATTGCTTTCAGAGTTGAAACAAGTTCTTTAATTCTATTATAAAGATTATTATAGAGATGGATCATTTTTTATTCCATTTATCCATTGTCTTTCCCTATTTCCTTCCCGTTATTCTTCCCCTTTTTCTTTTCATTCCACTTGCCCTTCCCCTTTATCTTTCCCGTTTCCTTCCTCTATACCTTCCCCTATTCCTTCTCATTTTCCTTTTTCTTACCTTTCTTTTAACCTCTTCTTGCAGGCATTGATTTCTTCCCTTTCCGGGGGGAAGGGGGGAGAGAATTATATATTATATGCAGTAAACACCCCGTGGCAGAATTTAAAGAATTTGAGCGGCGGTTCGGCGGTTTAAATATGGTTGGTTCCACTTAAAATTGTATCAAATGTTTCAAGATTTAAGCCGGCGCTTAATTTAAAACGGGTTTTGGCGGATTTAAACCGCGGCTCAAATTCTTTAAATTCCATCTCCAGTTATTTATTTGTTGTGATAATAAAGTTCAAGATAATATCAAGGTTTATTTTAAACATGTTTAGGGTGAATAATGTCTGTATTATTACCATGTTTATTGTTAATGATGAATAATGTCTTTATTATTACCATGTTTATTGTTTAGGACGATTAAAAACTGATTATTACCATGTATTGGACGATATTAAACTGATTATTACGATTCACAGACAAAGGGTCAAACGACCCAGGGTCAAACGACAAAGGGTCAAACGACAAAAGGTCAAAATGATAAAAATATTTTTTGATTTGAATCATAGGAAACTCGCAATTTTAATCACAAAAATCCGCCAAACTTTTTTGAAGATTTAAAACTTTAGTCTGATTCTGGCTTCCATAATGGTCTGGTTGGCAATATAATTGACCATGTTGCCGTAGCGCTCGGCCCCCTAGCCTGTCCTAGCCGCAGCGCTCGGCCCAGAAATTGTCTTAACTAACCTAACCCGTGGCCGCAGCGCTCGGCCCCCTAGCCTGTCCTAGCCGCAGCGCTCGGCCCAGAAAGTGTCTTAACTAACCTAACCCGTGGCCGCAGCGCTCGGCCCCCTAGCCTGTCCTAGCCGCAGCGCTCGGCCCAGAAAGTATCGCCGCAGCGCTCGGCCCCCTAGCCTGTCCTAGCCGCTGCGCTCGGGCCAGAAAGTGTCTTAACTAACCTAACCCGTGGCCGCAGCGCTTGGCTCCCCAGCCTGTTCTAGGCGCAGCGCTCGGCCCAGAATGTACCTAACCTAACCTTAAATAATAATATAAAAATACTAACCGTCAAAATTAAAAAAAAATTTGCCCTTTTGTCGCATTTTTTGACCCCTTGTCGTTTGACCCTGTTTCGTTTGACCCTGTGTCGTTTGACCCTTTGTCGTTTGACCCTGGGTCGTTTGACCATTTGTCGGTGAATCATTATTACCATGTATAGGACGATGAGGATGATTGAGCATGATCCTAAACCAGACCTGATGCAACCAGAAACAGTATTAAAGTTCTTTATCTAAGAGAGGGATAGTGGTTTATGTTAACAGGATGTAATTGTAAACACAATTTATCCAGAATTCGTTTATTTCTATTTAGATCTGGATCGAATGTTTTCTTGATTTTAAAAAAATCTTACATCTTTTTAAGATATTCACAAATTGTTGTTTTCTTCCACATAAAAATAATTTCAGACAAATTTGTCGTATATTTTTAAAAATTCTATTTCTAATTGGTCGCTTTACAATAAAATCCCAACCGTGACCTTTCATTGTGATCTTCTTCTGACCAATTATATAATTGTTATCCAAGGCTGTTTAATTATAAATATAATTATTCGATTAAAAATATAATCAAAATGTTATTTTCTTCAGTACCAAAATTGTTAAACAATGTATAATAAATGAATTAATGGACTAATGGACGATTTACAACTCCTTTTCAGAACAATTTATGTACATTAAAGTAATGCAGTCCTTTCAGAAGAATCCGAACAACATTCAACGAATTCAACCATCATTCTGAACTGGAAATCTTGGTTAAGCAGAAAAGTATGCTTTGTCTCGTGGCAGCTGTGGGCCTGTGGCATTTAAGTTAGCCAAAAATCAACCTGTCTATAGGCCTAAAAATTAACTTGTCTATTTATAGGCCTAGAAATTTACCTATTGTCTATTGATAGGCTTAAAAATTAACCTATAGTCTTTATATAGGCCTAAAAATTAACCTATTGTCTATTTATAGGCCTAAAAATTAACCTATTGTCTATTTATAGGCCTAAAAATTAACCTATTGTCTATTTTTAGGCCTAAAAATTAACCTATTAAGGTATTTATATAGGACAGAATGAATACACCTTTGCCCCCACCACCCCTTCTTTTTAATGCATTTTCCTGTAACTAAAAAAATTGTTTGATAGATTTCTTTTTTTATTTCATATGAGGTAATACTAAATATCCTGTTGGTAAGGTTAGTTTTTATTGTTTGAGTAATACACATTTTTTCTGCCATATATCAAAAATCAAGACGACATTCAAGTCGTCCTGCATACTGTCATGTTTCGTGGGACACCCTGTATTAATATTTTAAATGAAATATAAACAAATAAATATGTTCAAATGAACATTAAAATATAGTTTAAATGGACATAAAAATAGTTCAAATAAACAAAAAAATAGTTCAAATGGAAATAAAAATAGTTCAAATGAAAAAAAATAGTTCAATAGTTTAAATGGAGAAAAAAATAGTACAAATGAAAAAGTTCAAATGACAAAAAAATTGTTCAAATGAACAAAAAAATAGTTCAAATGAGAGAAAAAATATTTCAAATGAAAATGACAAAAAAATAGTTAAAATTTGAACAAAAAATAGTTCAAATGTGAAAAAATAGTTCAAATGGACAAATTAAAAATAGTTGAAATGAACAAAACATATAGTCACAATGATCAAAAAAGTAATTCAATTGGACATAAAAATAGTTAAACAGACAAAAAAAATAGTTCAAATGAACACAAAAATAGTTCAAATGCTCATGGATCAGCTGAAGTAATTAGGGGAGGGGCCGGGGGGCCTGCATGCCCGTGGGAGGAGGCATACGCTGAACTCCAACCTTCTCGAGTTTGCGAGGTGGGGAAGACTTCACTGCTGCACGCTTAATTAAAAGCATATGATTTATAAGGGAGGATGACATTTGTAGATCGAGATTGAATCCTAGCCGCAGCGCTCGGCCCCCTAGCCTGTCATAGCCGCAGCGCTCGGCACAGAAAGTGTCTTAACCTAACCTAACCCTATAAATAAAAGAAAGCACACGTCATAACTTTACCTAACCCGTGGCCGCAGCGCTCGGCCCTTAGCCTGTCCTAGCCACAGCGCTCGGCCCAGGAGGTGTCTTAACCTAACCCTCAATAAATACTAATTAATTGTTTGAAAATTGTTAAAAAAGTGGTCATGCAGTCAAAAAGTAAAATCTGCAGTGAAGTCTTCCCCACCTCGCACACTCGAAGGTTGGAGTTCATGTCTGCCGTGGGAGGAGACAGACAAAGGATTCGGGTAAATCATGTCGGGAGTAGGAAATCACATTTGAACTCTTAATATGTTTTTTAACTATATATGTGAAATTTTTGTTTGTTTATTTTTCATTTGAACTATTTTTTTCTAAATTGAACTATTTTTTTCTCATTTGAACTATTTTTTCATTTAAACTTTATTTTAAATTCATTTGAACTATTTTTCATATAAACATTTAAGTTCATTTCAACATTTATTTTTCAATTTGAACTATTTTTATATGTTCATTTCAACTATTTTTATTTTCATTTCAACTATTTTTATGTTCATTTGTTAACTATTTTTATGTTCAATTGAACTATTTTTATGTTAACATTATGAACTATTGTTATGTATTTGAACTATTTTTATGTTCATTTGAACTATTTTGTTTGTTAATTTAAACTATTTTTATGTTTATTTCAAACATTTCTGTGTAATTGATCCTCATGAACTTTAACTTTTTGCGAATTATAAAAAAAAACTTAAAAAGCTAAATTGCGGTAGAAAAATAGTTCAAATGAGCAAGAAATGTGTTGATTTGAACTACAGGATATGACGTCATGTCAGTAGTTCAAATGAACAATAGTTCAAACGAACAATTAGTTCAAACGGGATCGAGTACAGTTCAAAAAGGGGGGGGGGAAATATTTCCATCTTGCCCCCCCATACAAAAATGTCTTGTTGCGCGCCTGGATCTTAAGTTCAATAGTAGTTCAATTGATGTATAACAACAATATTATAGGTCCGATTTCTATAGGTCGGTCGACACACTTTCGAGATCTAAGACGACATTACCTTAGTTTCCTTGGCAAAGATTTAAATCAATATTTGTAACCAAACCAAACTTAAAATGCCGACGCCATAGTTTGCCGTTGCAGGTCTTGTTGCTGTAGTTCTATACGGAATTGTTAAATATAAAGAGTTACGACTTGATAAAAAGACTTTTTATGTGTGAGAGAGAAAATGACGATCGATTCTCCGAAGTAAGGTAGGAAATTGATTATTGTTGACTGCAGTGAGACAAAACTGTAGTTTCGATTCTTTGTCAAATTTAAAAACATCGAATCATAAATAATTGAATTAGGGGACTTTTGACATAGGAGTCCACAAACGTATGAAAATCTTGTATTATTCAAGGGTTAGGTTAGGTTAAGACAATTTCTGGGTTGAGCGCCGCGGGTGAAATGCTAGGGGGTCGGGCGCTGCGGCCATAAGTCCCCCAGGCCCCCCCCCCCCTCCTATCAATTGTCTACATGGATCTCACAGAAAGTGTATCAACTTAACTCGTGCCGGATTTGGCCCTTAGCACATCGCCCTCCTGTCAAGGTGGTAAGATAGGGGGCTTAATTTCTTTGAGGGATTTTCGGACACGCCCGGGCCACACTCTTTAAGCAAATTTTCATGGTCCAAGTATTTTCTGTGGCCGCAGCGCCTGGCCCCGTAGCCTGGTTAAGTCACAGCATTGGGCCCAGAAATTATCCTAACCTAACCCCGGAACAATACACAATATATTTTTACGATCGAAGGGAGGGAGTCTAGAAACTTTCTGTAAGCCAATGGGAGAGATATCAAAATTGGTTTTTTAGAAAGCAATTATTGAAATGTTAAACTCCCATTTAAGAAAATCGTTTTAATCTTGTGAAGCTGTCTGTAAATTGTTTTTTAGAGTTTACTTATTGCCCATTTTTCAGGTTTTTTTCAAATCCAAGATTGAATCCCACAAAGTGACGTGTTCAAAAATATAAAGTAAACCAAAAATGGCGGAAAAATTCTGCTTGAAATGGAACGATTTCGAGCGAAACATTAGTTCGGCGTTCCGGGACATTAGAGAAGAAAAGGAATTCTTCGATATCACGATAGCGTGTGAAGACGAGCAAATGCAAGCTCATAAAGTTATATTAAGCGCTTGTTCGCCTTTTTTTCGCAGTGTATTGAAAAGAAATCCCCATCAGCACCCTCTAGTCTTCCTCAAAGGAGTTTCTCTAAAAGATCTACGAGCAGTTTTAAACTTTATGTACCATGGGGAGGTAAATGTGGCACAAGAAGATCTCAATTCATTTCTCCAGGTCGCTGAAGATCTGAGAGTCAAAGGAAAGTTTCAATAAGTTAAAATTATTTGATGATTTTTTGATATTCCTCAAGCTAACACATTCAGTTTTTTTTTTATTTTATGTCATAAAACTAAATCATACAACCTAATTTTTTAAATTGGCTTTCAACCATCTTTTTGAATCGGTTTTATTTTTCTTTCTAATTTTTTTTTACTGAAACTTTTTACAATTCAGGCTTAACTCAAAATAATTCATCCAGTTCAAATTCACAACCAAAATCTAAATCAGAATCTAGAAGCGAATCCAGACCTAGACGGCGGAGTAGTGGGGAACCTAACTCCGCCCCCAAACGTTTCCGCCCCGACCCTCCTGCAGTAGTGGCGGATACTGAAGACGATATCCAGGAGGTTGAAGAGGTTGTACCTGTCAAGGCGGAGCCCATTGCTCCGCCCATTGTATCCGTAGCGGATCCAGGGACGATGGCAATGTATGAGGATGAAACGAGCGGTGGAACAATGATGCTTGACGAGAATAATTTCGACGAGTACGGACAGGACTATGACCAGGACGAGTATACCGAGCAGAACTTTATGGTGGCAGGACAGGACGGATCTTCAGGTAGGACGGAATAAACAACTTTTGGACAAAGGATGCTCATTTACAATTCACTAAAATATTTCTGGGCTTTATCTAATTATTTTTTTCGTTTTAACAATTTAAATTGATTAAATGCCTAATTAGGGGTTAGATAAGGGGATCAAAGTTGTATTAATTAGTCAGCTTCTTAAAAAAGATATATATTTCTGTAATAGTTTCACTTGTGTTAAGGGGGATAAACTTTCATAATTGGTATAAATAGTTGTTTGAGAAGGAGGTTGGGGTAATTTCCGTAGGTATTGTAAACCCTTTAAAGAGAATTTCATATAATTTCCTGGTGTATGTTCTCACTGAAAATAAGCATCCTTTCGTCTTACTTTGAAAATTAACCTAGTTTTTACGTGAACATTTTATTTGTAATGTTCTCATTTAAACTTAGTGTTTACTTGACAATATTATTTAAAATTAAGCAAGTGAACTGTGTGCATGCTTATCAAATGTTTTGTAGTTAGCTCATACTTTTATTTAACTTGCTATTTTTTTTTATAAAAATTGGTGAAATAGTCCAAATAATACAGGGTGAGCTTTAAAATGTGCATTGGTCGTATTTTTTACCTCGCCCTGTATTTCAGGCGTGAAGCAACCGTGTCCGGTGTGTGGTGTGCTATATCACAGGAGTGGGATGAAACGCCACATTGATAGAATACACACAATCCAGCCCACACTTCCCTGTCCTATATGCAAGAGAGTTTTTAAGGGACAGCACAATCTAAGTGAACACATGAGATCCGAACACAAGATTTATGCCACCAAATAATATTTTTTATTTCGTTGACATCTTGATATTTTTGTAGGGAAGGAAGTTTGCCCGATGTGTCCCGCGCTTATTACGCACAGGAACATGGCGAAGCATATAAGGAACCTGCACCCTGCGCGTGATATGGCAGTTCCATGTTCTATGTGTGAAAAAGTATTTAAAAACGTTTATAACATGAAAGATCATTTACGTCGAACACATGGTGTTTGGCAGAGAGATAACTTTTAAATGTTTTATATGTTTTTTTAAGGAATGTTATAAAATATATAAATATTTATATTTCTCAAGAGAACTTTATTTTGATACAAATTTGAAAGAAAAAAAACATTTGAAAGTAGAATATTTATATATTGTCATAATTTTTAGGTTGTTTGTCAAGATTAAAAATGATTCTTTGACTAGAAAAATTTCTAAAACATTTACTCAAACCTTAGAACAGTTTGAAGTAGGGGTGTCTATTTTTCAGAACTACCCCCCCCCCCTCTCACCCAATAAAAAATTGGATATCAAAAGGATTTTCAAATGGGGACGGGGTGGGGGAAATTATTTTCGAGAAAATACACACCCCTGGTTTGAAGCTGTTAATAATAAACTGCCAACACTTAACCGTTTAAGTTATGACATGTCGCCTATTCACAAAACGGGTCTTAACAGATTAAGTACATCGAGTCTATCCCTTTTAGAATTAAGGCATTTCATTCTGTAGTGGAACATGATCTTAGGCACTGATTTTAATTTATTTTTATGTTAATTTATCAATATTTGACCCTGAGCATTATTTAGGAGAGGGCAGGGTTCCCTGTGCACTCTGTCAAGTTTGGATACATCCAAGGAGTTTAAAGAGGCACATGGAGAGAAAACACAACTCCCCGATTAATATTTCTTGTGATCTCTGCAACAAGTTGTTTACATCAACCGTGAACTTCAAAGAACACATGAGAAGAGATCATCGTGTTAGTTCTAAAGATTTCAAATTAGACATATTACATCAATAAATTTATTACATTATCATTGTTTACTTCATGTTGTTAATCTGTATTCAACATGTACAGTTAGTTAGTTATTGTACTGTTGTATCTATGTACTGAAGTGATATACTGTTCTAGGGGCCGGGATGTACATAGATTGTCCTGTCTGTGCTAAGCCTATGTACAAGAAGAATCTGGCAAGGCATATAACCGTAAAACACACCAACCAAACCCCCTCAACCTGCTCCCTTTGCTCTAAGAGCATGAAGAACGACTGGAGCTTGAAGGAACATGAACGAAAGTTTCATGGAATTTTACAATCTCATAAGGATTTAGTTTAAACTCCTATATAGCTATTGTATCAATCAACACCAAAAAAATCTCTAATTTAGATTGATAGGATAATTATTTTCTCAAAAAATGATTTTTAATTGTAATACAATAATTGCCGAAAATACATGTTTTTATAGTTTGTAATTTCGCTTAGATTTTAAGTGTGCATTTTCACTCCGTCCATTAACTTAAATACAATTTCAGGAACATATCTTCCTTGTGATGTTTGTGACAAACTGATTCATAAAAACAGCCTGGCCAGACATATACTCAGAAAACATACAGGCGACCAGACGGTCCAATGTGATATTTGTGAAGTTCTGGTGAAAAATATCTATGCACTGAAAGTGCACATGCGGAAGTATCATGGCGTTTATGCCCGGGCCCATAATATGTAATTTTTAATGTTTTAATGGTTACAAATGTATGTGTTAATGTGAGCTTATTTTGCGGTTTTCAAACCTTGTTCTCTCTTTTTCAGATAAGTACCAGTCTTGTGGTGTATGCAATAAACTGATACACAAGCATAGTTTGGCGCGACACATGAAAAGTATTCATTCTGGTGACCAGACTGTCCAGTGCGAGTATTGTGATGCAATATTAAAAAATCTTGACACTTTACAGGGACACCATAGGAAACAGCATGGAATATATAAATCCAAAAATTCTTAAAGAGACTGTTACCAATATCTGACTAAGTGGGCCTTCATTAACTGAATGTCCTTTTTCTCTTAAAGGGACGACGTGGTTGATTTCTCGAGGGCGCGCACTGTATAACAGCACAGTAAAGTTTACTGTTCGGTCTGGTTTCTTATACAGACGTGTACAGTGTACACTGTAGTTAAAAAGTAAACCATATCCATGAACACAAAAGCTATTAATCTACTTGTGGATTTCTAAGGAACAGAAAAACTAAGATATAAACACCAAAATTTATTGAGAATGTAATTGATGGCCAAACACGTTTAAACCCGTTTCAAAAGTCAATTATTTTATTTATTTAATGCCAATGACGTCAAAACTATGTAATGAAGTTTTATCAGTTATAAATGTGTTAAATTATTTTGTAATAAGTAGTTAATTTCAAGTTATTTAATAAAAAGATTTTTGCGTTTTTTCTCTCCTTTTTTTGTAGTTAAGTTTTGTACTTATAGTTAGCTATGAAAAAATGTTTGATTATCCTTTATAAAAACAATATTTCTGTTTTAGGAACTAAACGAATGTGTGTTCTGTGTAATAAACTGATCCACAAATCCAGTTTGAGAAGACACATGAGAACTGTACATGCTGAGAACTGTACGGTAGAGTGTCCGGATTGTATGAAAGTGTTTAAAAATGTTGAATCCCTGGACACCCATCAACGTACTGTACATAGAAACTCCAGATCAATTACTGGAATTTAAATATAGACAAAAACATTTTTAGCGCGGTACAAATGCAAATAGAAGTTTTGACAATAAAAGGTTTTTATCAATTATTAGCGACCTAAAGGGACTATCATTATTTTAAATAACCTTTGAAATGCCTGATTCACAACGATACATTTGAAACCTATCACTTATCAATAATATGCAAGATGGTGTCGTTTCCTGTTTTCCTAGTTTGTCAATTTCTCCGATGTTTCTGAAGCAATAAATCAAAAATGAAATAATCAAGATTTCAAAAACAAAAACCTGGATATATAATTAATGCTTGATATGATTAATCTTTAAAGGGTACCGTATTGAATCAGACATGCCACTCTTATCAATGGAGGGTCACTTAAAATAACGTTTACAGTCCCTTTTTAAATATAATGTTCAGTCTTTAAAAATAAGATTTTATACGAGTTAATTTTATCTTACGGAGGGAAAATTAAATTTTCTCTAAAATTTTTAAAAAACATTCTTAAATTTTTTTAATATTTTAAATTGGTAATCCTTGCTAATACACTGATACTGAGCTTAACATATATTAGGGCAAATTTTATTCATTAAAAGTAGTCGGGGAAACTTATTTTGAATAATTAGTGTGAGAGTGCAATCAATGACTCACATCGGGTACTTCAACTATATTTAACTTATTAACAGGCATTTCATGTCTGCCGATTTCTATGAAAAACATGGATTAATTTGCGGGTTTTTTTTATGTCAAAATTTATAATTAAATGGCATTGCCCAATCTAAGGTATGATGGTTAGGATTGTGAATTGTTGACGATTACTATAGAATGACAATGTTACAGACAATTACTATTAAATAAATGGGAATATTGTCAACAATAACTATAGCAAAGTATAACACTAATCGAATTTAGAAATAAAACCTCTAAATATTGTACAAAATGTACAGAACTGACTGATGTAACGTACATACTTAACTTTGTTTTCGTTCTGATATGACTTTTTTGTCTCAAAATTCATTCAAAGTGTAAAATAAGTTTCAATTTCAAACCCCACTTCCATGAAAAAATGAATTAAATTGTTCATTTTTGTTGCTGTTTTTTTGTGTAGTGAGCATTTAACATTTCGGGTTTTCAAAGAATCTCGATTAAAACATAAAATGTTACATTTTAAATTTTGTAGATAAAAAAATGATTTATTCCGCGTATTTTTAATGTTTTAGTGATCTCTTGTATAACAATGTTTTAACCCGTCTGTAATTTTTATAAAAATAAATGTTTGAACAATTTCTATCGCATCTTGAGTAGTGAAATGTTTTCCAATTTTACACAAATTCAAAATTTCTATAAACTAATTTCCAACTTGTGTGTTTAGGAAAGTCGCAGTGTGAGATATGTTTAAAGTTCTATCATCAAACCAGTCTTCTCAGGAGAGAGATTATAATTTAGAATAATATTGGATTTATTACCGTGAAACACCCTTTCATCTTCATGCTTAATTGTGGGGGAAAATATATTTTAAAGGGTAACTGAACAATTTTGTTTTTAATATAGAGTATCCATTTAATTTTGGTCCGGATCCGCACTGGAAAAAAATGGATCCGGCTCCAGGTCATTTCTTTAAGATTTACTGAATTTTTTTAACAAAAAAAATAATTTTCAAATTTTTTTTTTTGTCTTATTTTCATCCTTAAACTTGATGAACCATTTAGAAATTAGGAAATTTTTATAATCTCCCTTTTTTTCAAAAGTTCAGATTTGGGTTTTAGGAGTAAAAAAGATTTTTTTCCCCGTTTTTGGTTGATATTTTACTCCTTGGATCCGGATCCGGATCCGTGAATCCGCATATTTTTGCGGATCCGGATCCGTGAATCCGCATATTTTTGCGGATCCGGATCCAGGAAGCCAAAATCTTGCGGATCTAACGGATCCGCATCCTACGCACTGTTTAGTACCTAAGGTACCTAATACCTTCCCCGATTATTGTTAAAAATTCCCGATCCATTCTCTGTTTTTAGTAATAAGAAAGAATGGATCATTAAAAATTTCAAATCATAAAAAAAATACACACCACTTCAACAGACTTAAAACTTTTTTAAACATTTAAAGATTTATCAATTATTTTTTACTGGCCTGATTTATTGAATGTATTCTAACTTGTTAGTTTCCTGTAGACATAAACGGAATCAGCACAGTGACCAGCTCCCCCCGGCCTACTGTTCTTACTGTCAGGTCACATTCAAGAACGAAGGTGTTCTCAAGGATCATCTCAGACGGAAACATAATCTTTACCAGTCAAAACAATTCTAAAGGGACTCAATTTGAAGTAATCCTCTGCTTAAGCGTTCCATTACCGTTTTAAACGCTTAACAAGATACAGAATTTATCGAAATCTTTATTTTCTCTTTATTTATAACGAAGATTTTATCTTGCAGAAAAAATTGTGTGTTTTTGGTCTATAATCTTTGATAGTACTTGATTTTGTATGAAGGAAGTTCAACCATTACTAGGCTCACTAGACTTTCAAATTAATGTCACGTAGAATTTAATATAGTCGCTTAATTACCATGTTATAGTTTATTGGGACAACCTGTATAGTTATTATCGATCCTGAATTGGTTTCTCAAGACCATTAAATCTTGTTTAACAACCCATTGTACAAGAGCTAAATTCCAATAAAAAATACAGATTTTTTTCCTTATCTTTAATATGCTAGTTGATGATGAATTTAAGGCGATTTTGTAACCGTGTTTTTCCCATAGTTATGTTATCGACATTATGATATTGCTATCGAAATTTTAGATATTTTTACACACACATACATACTTTCCAACCGGAAAATATGTATCTAAATAAATAGCATCAGTCTATTATTTTTTATCGAACCACTAAAAAAAATTGTATTTAAATAAAAATAAGGAATATTTATTTTGTTCTAGGTGATCGCGCTGAGTGCAAGATTTGTGGGAAATGGCTTCACAAAAGAGGATTGCGTCGCCATATTGCGGATCTTCACGAGAACCTGCAAGAAATGGTCCCTTGTGATATCTGCTTCAAACCATTTAGAAACGAACAGTATTTAAGAAATCACAAAAGAACCTACCATGGAATTTATTATGGAAAATCATAATAAAATATCAAAATATGCTGATAACTCACTTTGTTGTATAAAAACGGATATTTTTTATTTTATTATTTTGAGAAAAAAATCTATTTTATTTCAGACGGAAAGGTCGAGTGTGAAGCTTGTTTGAAACTAGTTCATCCTCGTGGTTTATCTCGACACATCCGGCTCGTTCACGGCAAACTTGATCTGGTCTCATGCAATATGTGCAATAAACAGTTCAAATCACCAGAATATCTCAAGGATCATTTACGTAGACACCATCTGGTATACCAGAAATAGGTGGCAGTTATTATCTGGTATACCAGAAAAATAGAGACCTTTTTTAGTATGGCCTAGATATCTAAACAGATACTATCTTGTAAACCAGAAATACATTTGTTTACCGCAGTGCTTAGGATCTGGATCCGTTGGATCCGCAAGATTTCGGCTTCCTGGATCCGGATCCGGATCAGCAAAAATATGCGGATCCACGGATCTGGATCCAAGGGGTAAAATATCAACCAAAAACTGCAAAAAAGGAGAGATTATAAAAATTTCCTCATTTCTTTATGGTTCATCAAGTTTTAGGATAAAAATAAGCGAAAAAAAATAAAACAAAATATTTGAAAATTATTTTTTGTTTAAAAAAGTTAGTAAATCTGAAAGGAAAAGACCTGGATCCGGATCCATTTTTTCCCAGTGCGGATCCAGGATCCGGATCCGCATCAAAATTAAATGGATCCCAAGCACTGGTTTATAGGTATTGATCCTCGATAGCGTCTATAAACTACTGCTGATAATTCTAATGTGAAATCTATCAGTCGTAACTTATGCTGCAAACAAGCTTCAAGATTTTCATAGCTACGACTTTAAAAAGCAGAATGTGAACAAAAGGGTAAAAGCCCGGTCACAATAGTTAAATAATAGTGATATTGGTAATCAAAGCTATCCATTTTATTTTATATACATTTTCTGTATTAATCTGATTTGATAAGGTGAATAAAAACAATATAAAATAAATTGGTTTTAATGATGTTAAACCATAGTTATACTTTACTAATCTGCGTATTGCGTAAGTATATATAAATCTTAGTTTTCAACGCTAGTTTGGGGGTTTATTTGTTTCTTAGATAAATATTTATTTATTTTCAGGATTTTCCCCTGGTAAGGTCTCCTGTGCTCTATGCATGAAGTTTCTGCATCCGCGCGCGCTCAAACGCCACCTGGCTGACGTGCACGGAGATAACCAGGCTCTGCGCTGTGAGACCTGTCGGGGATTCTTCAAGAATCAACGATCCCTGGATTCACATCAACGGCTTGCACATGGCCGCCGATTCATCCAGGAATTCTGATCCTGGAAAAAAAGACATGGCCGGTTGTTTAGCGAAACCGAGACCGTAAAAGTTCGTTCAAATTTGATTTAATACGATAAATAAACTTACTGTGGATACTGGATATGATATCATACTTCCTATAAGTAAAAGATATTGGGTAGACTAATAAAGAAGTTAAGAGACAAGTAAGAAAATTGACAGAATAGTGGTACAGAATTTATAAATCCAGAAATACTCAGACAATTAAAAAACAAGTAATTTTAATTCAGTTAATTGTTCCTCCTACAGATTTTTTAAT